TCCTGCAAGTCTCAACCTGCACAACTTCCTATTTTCCGAGTTACAAGGGCCGAAAGCTCCAAAATAACATATTTTTTTATGGGTTTCAATATTTTTATGGGTTTCTTAAAAGGCGTCTTTTCCCAAAATTGAAGAAGTTTCGCAGCTTGAGACTTTCAAAATCTTTATTTGGTACATCAAGAGTTCTGGCTAATTTGCAGGAAAATGCAAACCGCAAAGCAAAATTACCTCCCTTGTAAGTTTTTTTTATCGAAACTTGTGAGTCTTAATGGTTCAAAGTTTCTGAAATTGCATTAAAAATTCGGCTAGCGAGTTTTTCAAAAATATATCTCCCGTCTCAGAATCATTTCAACCAAGGCTCTACTGCGTGAATTTCAAGAACCACGCTTTCGAAAAATAAAAAAGAAGAGTGAAGCAGTCGGAGTGTGGAGCAAAAGACAATCCAAGTTGATGTGATGGAACAAAGGGAGTGGAATGGAGCCAAGAGAAAGTAAAACGCAGATCACCGAAGCATGTAATTCTATTGGTTGATGCAACTGGTCTCGGCGCCGCCGCCGATGCCTTGGTGTATGAAAAGGCGAAAAGGAGGCCTGGGTCCACACCAACCGCCACTCCGCCCTACGCCAAATAAGACTCGCTCGCTCGTCCACCGTTCGTTTGTCATAAACGGCCAATCGATATAAATACTGGGGGGTGCGTAGAGCAGGAGGGGTCAGTCTCGATAAGGGTACTAGGTCAAGTTTTTTTCCTCGGTTTTTTATCCTTGCTCTAGCTAATCTATTTGAAGAGGAGATAATGGTGAATACTTTTTTTTGTTCAAAATCGTTTCGCTCGAATTTCTCGCCTGAAACAAGATAAAAAAGAAGGTCTGGACTTTTTCGGAATGTTCAGGTTTAGACTTGGAAAACTTATGAATCAGATGGAAAAAAAAATACTTCCAACATTCATCTAGCAAAAAAAAACATCAGCAAGACAAACGATGCCCTGTCATTATCAAAAAAAAAGAGTTTTCCATTGTCACCATAAAAAGAAATAACTAGTCGTTATGAAATACGGCAAAAACAGACGCGCAATGGACGCGAAAATTACGGTTCAGACACGTTTTTGGGCCGCATGCGGCCAAATAATTCTCTATTTTCCATCGCATTATTTCTTTTTGGTTTGGCACAAATAGCGCTGTGGACAAATTGCGATTCGGGGTATTTTATTCGTTTCCGTTATTCCTTTGATGTGTTGGAAAAGTATTTTGGATCGAAATATTAGTTAAAAAGGAAAGAAAAAATGGCAAAAAAAAGGAGAATAATTTTACTACCGGCTTGAGAATTTTCAAAACATATTTTACAGGATATGTAGTTTTGCATGGGCAGGATAAATATACTGTGAGTACCTCTGGCAAAAGTTGGATATGTCATAAAGAAGCTTTAAAACTTTTCTCGAATTTTTAAATGAACCGGTCGAAAATATGAGACATTTGTTCAGGAAATCGAAGAGTGTTTTTTTCAGACCTAGAAAAAATTCACGAACAATAAGCAAAATTGAAACGATCCAGGGTAGTATTTTGACCCTAAACACTTCAGGTCAATTTTCAATTCAAAAATTTGATAACTTTTTTTCCAATTGAGAACTATGACAAATCATGAACTAACTCTCCTTCTTTCTCTCAAAATTTTTTGTAACTTCAAACATTGCGAAAAAACGAGCTGCAATTGGAACAAAGAATAAAGAGAACAATAGGACTGAAAGAAATTTCAGCACGCAATGGGTAGCGATTTCCCTTTTGCGGATACATATCCGTGGCAAAAGAATTTGGTTACATTTGGGTTTCAAGCGCCCTTGTGAAGGCTCGCCGAGCCAATTGGAACCTTTTATGGTGTTGGGAATCATGATGAAAATGTTCCTTGAAAAAACTTTGAATGTATGAGATGAATTGTTTAATGATGAAGGTTACACTTTCCAAGAGATTTTTTCTAATTTATGGAATTTCACAAAAAATTGTCTCCTTTTGCAATCTTTGAAACGGGAATGATGAAAAAACGCAAAAAGCATTATTGAAAATAATGATTACTTGAAAGAACATTTGAGAGCCGAGATGCAATTTAACAGGAAAAATGAAAAAAAATCTTAATTTTATCACTTTTTTTGAAGTAATAAAACTTGAAAGTGAAAAAAATGAATCTTTTACATTACATTGATGTTGATGTGAATTTGCAAAAAAATTTCTCAAGTTTCCAAGAATTGTTTATGACAGAAAACTGCAATAAAAACATGAAACTCAGCCTGTAGATGAAGAAAAAATCAATTTATCTTTCCCTACCTCCGATTTTCAACTTTCTGTGGATCTCAACTGAACGAAACTCTGGATCAAAATTAGGGGTATGGCCGAACAAATGCCGCCAAACGCAACAGCTGCATTCATTAAATTGGCCGAGGAACCATTTATTAGTAGGCGTCTGGCCTAATGGACGAAGTTTGTATTGACACGCGCTCTAATTTCGGGAGGATGGCTGGCGCGAAACAAATGACAAAATGCGAACATATGTCAAGGCATTTAGGAAATTGGATTTTTTCCATCTGAGCGGCTCTCGCGCACGGCACAGGGCTAATGAAAACGGAGAGAAGAGCCGCCCGGAGATCCACCAAAGCGGAATCAAATCCAACGGCAATTCGTCCTGCTGCCGCAATTACAAATGCAACGGCTCGCCTTTTATGCGTTCTTTTGGGTTCTCATGCATAAGTAGCTTTTGAAGCGCAAAATGACCTTCTGCCAGCACTTTTTTGAACGCCCAAAGTGCAAATAGTACAGGAGGGAGCGCTGACTTCAAAATTTTTCAAATTAGGAAATTTTTCTAAAACTCTTGATCTTCGTTGTTCATCAATTCATAAGGCAGCGAGCGTCTTTAAAAAAAAATTTTAACTGACTGAACGTTAAAATGATATAATAATATTTGTAAATCGAACTCTCTGCATATTCTGCAATTTTTTTATTGGTCCATGAAAAATACAACTTTTGAGACAAAAAGATTGCAAAAAAACGTAAAAACTTCTTCTTTCATTATAATATTTCGCTGAACTTGTTTCAAAATAATCATTTATTGTTTTCAGAAGCTATCGGTGAATAAATTTTACAAGATATCCAAGTTTTTTTGTGCTTTTTTTAAATTTTGCCTGCTGCTCAGAAAAAAAGGAGAAAAAAATATTTCTGGTTTTTTTACATGTCCGATGTTTAGGACATAACTAAGAGCTTGCTTTTAAATTTTTTTGAATTTGTAACGAGAGCTTTTTTTCAATTTGCTCTATCATTATAAAAAAAGTTTTAGAAGTTGAATTTTCAGCTAAAAATGAATAAGTTTTCCAAAATATCGTAAGAGATGAAACCTCCTTCATGGTCAATAAAACTTAACGCTCCTTTTCTCTAAACCTTGCTGAGAAAATATAGGACGAGATATGAAAAAAGGCACTTAACAATGGTGTCCTGGAAAAAGCCGACGAAACGAGCTTTTGTATTTATTATGCAAAAAGTACCCCGAGGTCGGTCGGATCAATGAAAGGCGTGCGGCCTATTTGCGCAATTCGCCGTACAGGTGCGTCGTAATTCTGGGTCCTAAATATTTTCCAAACATTGCTTTATTACGTTTGGGCGCCGTTTGATAGCTGAACTGAGTCGTGGGAGTTGTATTTGCTTGGGGTTGGAAAATACCTGTACCCTTGTACCTTTGACGGGGAGAATGACGCGTTTATGAATGGAGTTATTCATAGATATGAGCACATTTCGAATACCAATCCATATTAGGCATTATAGTCTGTGTGCCCCGAATTGAAATTTCACGGAACGACGTTCCACTGTTCAGCTGCGTGCGTCCGCGAAGCGTCTTTCGAATCTAAGTCACGCTTTCAATCTTTTCATTGTTATTGCTGTGGGTGCACATGAAAGTAGAGAATCTTAATAAAAGTGAAAAAAAATTGAAAGCGTGACCAAGGTTTGCAAAGGCGCGCAGCGGCACAGCGGAATGTCGTTCGGTGAAATTCCAAGTCATGGTACACAGACTATAGAAACTTCTGACAGGGTTGGTCATGCACTTTTTCCTAAAAAGTGGGATTTTTCTAATTGGCCAGGAAACGTTTTGATGAACCACATGAGAATTCTGAAAGTCTCAACCTGCACATTAACCTAACTTTCGAGATTTTTTTTTTTTGATTTGAGGCGTATTCTCTCAAAAACGAAGAACTAGTGCAGGTATATACTTTCAGGATCTTCATATGGTTTATCAAGGAGTGATCTGGCCAATTTTCAGAAAATTTTCAATCGCCAACTGAAATCTCTGTGATCTAATTGTAACCGCACCTAAAAAAATTGTAAGCTTTTTCAATGTTTCAGTAAACTGTTCATCTTTCAAAAAAAAATTTCCTTTTTATTGACTTGTGAGCCTAAAACGTATCTTAAAACCTCAACTTATGCAAATTCAATAAACTCTGAAGGGAAAATATAAAACTCTAACTTCATTAAAAGGTACAAAACGGCAAATAAAGGGAAAAACAGCTGGCGGAAGTATCAAATATAATCATTTTGTCACAATGCGGAAAAATGATTCATAAGGCTAAGCGCCACCTTTTATGGAATGGCTACCTGAGCTAGGAAATCTGAGAAAGTGTTTTAGTGAACTGCAAGGAATTGCGAAAATGATGTCGAAAACACATATTGAGGTCGATAAGAAGGCATTGATCATCGGAAAAATCGTGCCGAACGTCAAAGCAATTAATGAATTGAGGTTGATCGAAAAAAGCCTTCTATGGATTATAATGACGTCAATATCAAGAAGCGAGAAGATCATCGAGAAATCAACGTTTCAAACCTTGTTCAAGTAAAACTTTTATACACTTTTTCTTTAAAATTGAGCTTTTGTTGATATTACTTGATGCCGAATGTAATCGAAAAATAGAGAAAAGCCTGAACCAAATAAAAAAATGATGATGGAAACGCCGCTTTTTTTTTTCGGAAAAGCATGTTGGAAAAGCTCGCCGAGGGGCGCGCAGTATTCGAGCGCAAGCGGCATCGAAAAGAGCAGAAGCGGGGTGAAAGGAGGTCTTGTTTGGAGAAATGGCGCTGTTATGGGGGATCAGAGAGTTCAGACGACGAGGGAGCGACGAAATTCCGCACGAAACGGATGGAGTCGCCGTCTTCTGAGAAGAAACCCCAAGGTAAAAAAGAAGGCCGAAAGCAGCAAGCAACACTTCAGAGTTACTCGCGCTGCCCTCGTTTCCGATGAGGAGAGGGCAAGAAAAGTATTAGTACTTTGGAAGGACGAGACATCTTCTAAGGCCGTGTTTGGCACGTTCAAAACGGGCACGCACTACGATTTGGTTGGAGATAGTTGAAGAACCAGTTTTGAATACAGTACCATTTTCACAAAAATAGTTTGAGAAAGATTACTTGGAAATGAGAAATGATTCCTAAAAAAGTTTGACTTTAAAATAAAATGTTTCAAGCTCTATTTTTTTAAACTGGATTATTTTTACTTTTTAAGGCTTCAAATGTTTATTTTTATTCAACCTAAACGTCAGAAAAAGGATATTTTTTGTGATGCTTAAAATTGTTCAATTTAAAATTCGCTATCAAAATTTTAATTTTTTGTGTAGCGATCACTTCAGTCTGAAGTTGAAAATTGTTATAACATTTTGAAAAAATCTTGTTTTGATAAACTCCTTAAACAGCCGCAAACATACAGTACCGTCAGAAAAGGCACGAAAAAACGGGGTTCCGGTCACAACTTTCTTTTAAGCACTTCCATCTCTCTCAAACTTTCTGTAGTTGGAATGACTTATTTTTTAACACTCTGATAAAGTTTCAGTTCACAGCTTTTTTGACCGTGTTTTTATACATTTTGAAAAAGAGCTTAAAAGATTTTTTTCGATAAATATTTTTTTATGGCTATCAAAAAAATTATATACATATGTATGTATACGTTTTTTTCTATCAGAAAAATGAAGGATGGAACTTATTTTTTTGCTTTTTTTTTAACTTTCAAAAAAACCTCAAAGTTGAGACTAGCTCGAAAGTTTTTCGGTATCCAGAAATTATTCAATTTCAATCAAGCTTCTTGTCAGGAAAAAGGTCGCCTTTTTTGAGCCTTTCGCTCAAAAACATTCAACATTCAGAATGTAAAAAGAATTGAAAAACATTCAGAATGTAAAAAGAATTGAAAAAATAAATGAATTCGATCTTTGATTTTTTACACTTTATTGTACTCCCAACAGATCCAACAATGAAAACTTTTCGACAATTGTTCAATATTAACAGTTGCATTTTGATTATGAGGCAAACGTGTCTTGGTACTGGGATTTTGATGTGGTCCGGAGATTACAAATTTTCAATGTACACAGAATGAAAGAACACAGCAGAGATCAAAGATGAAACCAGAACTGAATAAAAAACACATGGAACATGAAAAACAAATTTCAAATCACAACACTTCGCAAGAAATATCACTTGATAAAACGATTGACATGTTATATAAAATCTACGTTCATATGTGCTAAAACTATCAAGAAGTAGTACTGTACATGACCAGAGAAAATTATAAATAATTTGCTTATTATCAAATATTACAAGGGTTTGTTTAGCGGACTCTTCTTTTCTTGGAGGGGCCAGGGCCATCCGAACGGCTGGACGGACGTTTCAAATCCTTGTGCTTTTTCTTGGCGTTGCACCTGTTGCAAAACCATTTGACGTTCTTGGCCGGTTCGACGAGAAGTCCGACGCAGTGCCTGAAAAAAGAGACAAGGAATGGGACGAGCAGATGCTTCCCTACCAGTGGAACCATTCGTCGCACATGTCGCAGCAGACCATAGTCGCGCCTTCGGAGTAAGCAATCGAGCACGCCGGACAGATCCAGAGCTGCAAAGTGAGGTTTGGCTTTTCTTTTTTAAGAATCTAGTGATCAGTATCATCTGAGACTTTATTAAAGTTTCTTAAACCTTAAATAATCAAAAAATTACCGGCTCTTCCTCATCTTCGTCTTCTTCATCTGAACCATTCGGAGGAGACTTGCTTTTCTCCTTTTTTTTCTCTTTCTCCTTTTCCTTTTCTTTTTCACGTTTCTTCTCTTTCTCCTTTCTGTCTGAAGGCTGACCTGTAATCTGAAATTATTTAGTTCAAGATGAAGAAACTGACCAGGTTTAGAGGAACTCTGTTTTTCAGAATCATCGCTCTTCGACTTCTTCTTCTCGGTAGCGACTGAAGATCGACGGTCCTTCAGCTTCTTTTCTTTCTCTTTTTCTTTCTCTCTTTCCTTCTCCTTTTCCTTTTCCTTTTCCTTCTCCTTTTCTTTCTCTCTCTCCTTTTCTTTTTCCTTTTCCTTCTCGCGTTCACGTTCCTTCGCTTTTTGCCGTTCCTTTTCACGTTCTTTCTCCTTCTCTCTTTCTCGCTCCTTTTCCTTTTCACGCTCTTTAGCTCGCTGCTTCTCCTTTTGTCGTTCCTTCTCTTTTTCTTTTTCCTTTTCCTTCTCCTTCTCTTTCTCGCGTTCTCTTTCCTTTTCACGTTCTTTCTCGCGTTCTCGTTCACGATCGAGGCTCTTGTCTTTGGATTTCTTAGCTGAGGATGAACCAGACGGCGGTGACTTGGACCGCTTCTAAAATGTACGTCTTGTTAGTTTGCACGTTCTGAGAAACAATGATAACAAACCCTTTTGGAAGATTTGTTCATCTTGTCCTTCGGAGTTGAGTCTTTAGGGATGACAATTTTTTGAGTAGGTGTCGGCGTGCGGCTTATCTCCTTTTCTTTTTTGAAAAAGGACAGCTTCGGAATTGAAGATCCAGCGAGAGGAGTAGCAGGCCTACTGAGCTCATCGTTTCTAAAACTCATATGATTTGAAAAATTTATAAGGCTTTGTAGATATTACTTTGCTATGCGGAGTTTGACCGGAGTCTCTTCCTTCTTGGCTGAAGATGGAGGTCTTTCCACTGAAGCTGGTGGTTGAGCCGGAGGAGCGACTGTTGGGGTGCGGTTCTCTCCCAAACGGATTTTCAGCGTTATCTTTTCTCGAACTTCTTCTACAGCTGAATGAATTGATGAATTCTTCTTGATCATATAATTTAAAAAGTTTAAAAGGAAAACATACGTTCCGGCTTCATCTTCTTCGATCGTTCCTTCTCCTCACGTTCACGTTCTTCACGCTCTCGCTCTTCTCTTTCGCGCTTGAGCTTCTTCTTTTTCTTCTTGTGCTCACGCTCTCGTTCACGCTCGGAGTCGTGCTCGCGGTCCCTATCTTTGTGTTTTTTATGCTCCTTGTGATGTTTGTGTGAAGGAGAGCGGTCTTTGTCCTGAAATGTTATATTTCAGCACGCCAAGAAATGATTTATTTTCACGCAAACGTTTTCCTTTTTTCCTGCTTGAAAATTGGAGACGTCCAGAGTTGAAAAGTTTTTTTGGAATTTTTTTATCGTTTTTTTATTGAAAACTTCAATAATATTAGGGAACGTTTTTTTAATTAATAAAAGACTTTTTTTCACTACCAGGTTGAGCTTTTAATGAAACTACGTTGAAGTGTATTTTAGGACCTACTAATCCCAAAAAAAAAAATTCTTGCAATAGATCTCGTTTTCGAGTTATGGAGCTTTAAGGTTTGTAAAATACGCAAATTATGACAAAAAGGCTACTTCAAGCTTCTGAAATATGTCTACTCGAGAACCAGATCTATTGCGAAAATTTTTTTCCGGTTCCGGAATCTGGAAGTCCCAAAGCACACTTAAACGAAGTTTTATCAAAAGTTTATTCAGGGGGTTAAAAACGTTCCCTAATTCAGGTTTGTTTAGGACAATGCTACGGCGGCCGGTCAATATTGCGTCGTCAGTTTCAAAGCCAAGAACTTTTTTTCAATTAGTTAAGGGCCTATTTTTCGACGTTACAAGATACTTTGCGTTACAAAAAGTACATAATTTTTCAGTTTATTACCAAAAAACCTGTCGAAACTACCGTATTACAACCGGCCGCCTTGAACATGCGTGAGTTAGTGGTGAATTGAGGCATGTCAAAAAAAAGAATAACTTGCGTGCCTAGTCAGATTGCAGTAAAAGTACTCCTGTCTTGTTTTTTTAGGTTATGCTCGAACTTGCAAAAATTGCTGCAAATTACGTTTCATGTGTAACACGCGATAGTTACACATTCTCTTAGCGCATTCATAAATCTCATTTTCCCAAAATTTCAATGTACTCTATCTATCTTCAAAAAATGCAAACCTTGTGCTTGTGTTTCTTTTTCTCCGATTTTTCGTAGACCGATTCGAAAACGGAGGTAGAAGCAGTAGAAGCGACAGATAGCCCCGATACTGTAGAGTCAAAAGGCTCGTTGAGGTCTGGTTTAGTTCCTTTTGCCGCCGGCTCCTTTATCAATGAGTTTTGTTATCAAGAGCAAATTTATTGGAGTTACTTCGTTAGAAACCAGTGGCTCGGTGAGAGTCGAAAAGTAGAATGGGACCGTATCCGTGTCACTCCCGCCGTCTTCGCCTACGAGCTCCTCAGCGCCGACTGAACAGTTATATTACGACACTTATAACGGAAAAGTGCTATATCGCTCCAAAGATAATTGTCGAAAAATTGATTCAACTTTTTTATGAAAAGTGAGCTAACTACTAAGATTTTTTTCAACGGAACTTCAAGAGTTTCTTTTTTTCAGACAATGTGAAGTTTTATAATTCCGTGATTTTTCCAATAAGAAGCAGCTATTTTTTTGAAAAAGAAATAATCACCGGGTGGTCCAGCTTCCAATAGAAACGGTAGTTCGTTTGCTGAATTCTCATTATTCTCTATTAGATATTAAATTAGCGGTCAGTCAAAGTTATTATCAACAAGACAGGACTTCAAAACAAATGAAAAGGATCACAATGATGAGTAGAAAAAAGCGGAAAAAATCATTGATTGGGTTGTATTTTAACTTTTTTTTTCTACGAATTGTTATAAAGGAAGATTTATTCTTCTTTAGTTTTTTTAGAACAGGTCAGCTTGGAAAAAAAGTTTTTTGAATTTTTGGTTAATCATAATCGCAAAAAAAATGAAATATAGTTCTGATGAGAGAAATTTCATTTTGCAACTGAAAGCAAGAAGAAAAAAACTCTCTAGCTATGAGAGCCTTTTAAAGTTGAGAATCGACCAATGGGAAAGTAGGCGGTCCTTTTCCCACACCCTTTCCCACACATTTCATTTTTTCCGTTAATAGGCTAGAAAAAGTGTAAGAGCTGAAGTTAATATGGTTAAAGCTGAGCTGCGAAAAGCGAAATCGCCTTTGAGCTTTCATGGCAATTTGTCTTCGCGAGAGATGCAACGCTTATTCCGCACGCACCAGCAGAGAAACAGAGAGTCTGAGGCCTGGGAGCAGGTAACACGAAACAAATCCCGGTTGCTCAACCACTCGGACACACGCAAAGCAATAGAAGCACTGCTACACCAATCTTCGGTCTTGATTTCCTCTTTGTTCTTTGGTTTTCACAGCGTTTTTTTGTGGAACAGAAGTTATCACAGCTTGGAAGCCAGACTAATAGAAGGAAGCCATTGGAATCATTCTAATTTTAGCCGAGAGAAAGACTAATTTTTAAGAAAGAACAAAGTTTGACTAGAGTGAGACCTTGAAAAAAGTGATTTCAAAGGTGAATTACTTGCTAGTAATATAAAATTTTTCGAAAATCAAGACCGTTTTAAAAAAGTCAGAGGTTAAAGCAGGTTTTTTATTTCAAACAAACCTGGAATTATCGGCTGCGCAATAATTTCTTCTTTCGGAGGTGGCGGTTTAATAACGATTTTCAAGGAACGTGGCGCGGGCGCAGGCGAATCGACCGGCACTGAAATTAGTGGTTTAAATCACTTTAAAATGAAAAAATGTTCTTATTGGATTTAGTATTTTTTATTGCACAAAAAAAACGGGAGGAACCTTTTTATAAACGATCCCTAAAAAGCTGAAAAATGAGAAAAATTGAGAAAAAATGACCAATTTTCAACTCCCAAACAAAAACTTTGTATTATGACCAGACAGTTGCGAGCAAAGTTCCTGATATGAAAAGTACAAGAGTGCGTGCAAAAAGTGGAGAAAGCGATAAAAGCATTGTTTACACTTAACCTCCATCGCAATCTTTCGATTTTTTTCCAATGAAAGAGATCAACTTATTATATAACGATTTTTTGGGAAGGAAAAATAAATCCAAACAGGACTAAAGGGACAGATTTGATAAATTTTTCAGCGAAACGGTATCATTCACTGTCTTTAACAAACAGTCACTGAAGACCTCTTGTTTTTTTGCTCGTGACAACTCTGTCCTCGAACTTAGCACTTTGAAAAAAACATTATTTTTCATTCAAAGTTCTACATCAAGACTAAAAAAATAGTTCGGAGTGAAGTGAAAATTTTTTTCCACATACTAAAAATGACCTTCAAAATAGTTGAACGGAAACTTTTCCTTGAATTTCTTTGATATACATTTTTTTTTGAAGTTCAAATTATTTAGAATAATTTTACTGCTGACATTTTCTGCAAAGCGCTATTTCGTGAGAAACAAAATTATAAAAAAGCGTTTTTTTTCTCAACTGATGTAACTTTGAATCGTTATTACACTGGTCCTTAATTTCGTGACAACTCTAAATAATTCGAACCAAGTTTTCATGTATTCTTTAAATGAAACTGCAGTATTTCTTCGAAATTAGATCTCATCTCCCAATACCTCAACTAGACCAGTGCGAAATGATTGCAAAAAAAGCCATGAGGCACTCTAATAAGTTCTAATTCACCCTTAGTGCGGACGTAGGTTGCAGGGGCTTCCGAATTGATGATATTGTCAATGAACTTGTCCTTGGCCTTTTGCTCCCGCTCGAGCTCACGCTCACGTTCCCGCTCACGGCGAGCTTTTTCTTCCTCGTACTTTGCAAGCTGTTCTTTCTGCTCACGCAAGAACTTTTCTTCGAGCTTGGCCTTGCGCTGAAACAAAAAACAACATCGTTACGTTAGGTACTTTGTGTGTTGAATGTTGGATAATCCATGGTTCGGACTGCATTGTCATGGCAACACGATTGAATACGCCTTCGTTTTCCTGCGATTCAAATGCGTTTCAAAAAAAGCGTCAAAATGACAGGAAAGCGGAATAGAGAAGGGATTTTTTCAGATGAAAGTGTCAAACCTGCTGATGCTTTTCAGGATTCTTCGGAGGTCTTCCCTTCGGCCTTGGAATCTTTGGCTCCGGCTTTGGCTTGGGTACTTTGGGCGCCTTTGGTGGCTTCGGTGCTTTTACCTTCAAAGTCTTTGGAGCCTTCAGATTCCTGTAATCAGATGTTTTTTAAATAGCAACGCGGTTTTCAAATGGTACGTCGGAATCGGAGGTTCTTCCAGAGGAATGCCGGCTCTGTAAAATCATATTTTATGAAGTTGAGGTGGAAAAAAGCTTACCCAGGTCTTTGATAGCTATCAAGTACCGGCATGGCATCCAACTGAAAAGAGGCTTCAATATCAATAAGGATTGTATTCTCACCGCTCTTGACTTTTTGATCGTCATTGGTTCGTTCTTCTTGAGTTCAGGTGCTGGTGGCTGAAAAATGACAGAATGAGGTTGGTAAAATAGAAAATAAATAAAAAAAGCCTTACAATGTCAGCATCGGCAAACTGGGCCATGTCTTCCTGCTCACTATTATTGTCGTGCTGAAAAAAAGTTGATGGTTTAAAATGTCTTTTGAGTCACGGTATCGTCAGAAAAGAAGTTTGTCACAACTTTCTTGTAAGGCACTCAATCTTCCTGGAAGTTTCTGATGCTGGATTTTTTCTGTGAGCTACACCTTAATCAGTGTATTGAAAATAAGTTATCACAACTCCAGAAAAATTCAGAAAAATTGAATTCCTCACAAGAAAACCCGTTATTTGTACATTTTCTGATGGTACTGTATATCGAAAAGTTCAAATAACAGCTTGGCTGCAACTTAATTGAATTAAAACTCACAATTCCAGCAATTTTGGCTTCGTATCTCGCAGCGGCAAGGTTCGCACTACTGGTGATGCCTAAACAAGAGAAAGTTCCAATTTTTTAACTTGGATATGAGGTAACCTGTGACGGCAGAGATCCTAGATGGCTGATTCTCAGTTTTGACCCTCCGTTCTTCTTCTTCTTCATCCACGAATCCGAGCTCGGCTGCGGTCATACCATCGAAAATAGGCATCGTGATGGACAATTGCCTAAAATTTTTGATACTTTCTTTTAGATTTTATCTTTTGATTACTTTTTGACTGCGGGCTTGGTGACGGCCAGGTAATCGGCACTCGAAGTGGCTGAAAATATGAATATCATTCATTTACAATAAAGGAAAACGTACTCTCAGACTGTTCATTCTTTGTGGCGGGTAAATAGGAGAAAAAATGCTCTGGACGCTTCTGAAAAGTCAAATTTTTTTCAGTAAAAAAGTTTTTTTGAAATGATCATATTATATGCCAAGCTACAAACAAAAATAAAAAATGAAGCCAAACTTTTTGAAAATAAATAAGCAGGAAGTTTCTATTTGAGTAAGCGTGTCTGGAGATTCAATTGAATGCTAACTAAAAATGGGATTTATTATTATTATTTTTTTTTTCTAGTTTCCACATTTTTTTTATGAGTATGAGGCGCGTTTATTATCAAACTGCAATCATTTCCTGAAGGTTCAAAAAAACGAAAATATTATTTTCCGATTGATTATCGATTTTCACCTCAGCGTCTTCGCTGGAAGACTGCGGTCCATACATTGCAGTGAAATAATGCGCTCCGCTGTTGGCACTCCGCGGACAAGGCAGAGGCGGTAGCTATAAAAAAGATTTTCTCAAAATTATGAAATCATTGGTTACCACTCTCGGAGCAGGAAGCTGACCGACTTGGGTCACATAATCTTGAAGCTCATCGGCCTTGATTTTCGAAGAACGGAAGGCGGCTGACACATCATCAGTTGTTGCGAGGGTTCGACCGGCTGATAAACGTATTGAATCGTTTTTTGTATTGTTTTATGAAAAAAAATGTTTGAAACAACAAAATGCGATTTTTCCATTATTTTGGTGGAAAAAAATTTACTCGAAAACAATGGGTTCTAACTTTTTTCTATGAATCGGCTTGCTTTAATTATTTTTCGAAAACAGTGAAGTTGTAGAGCTGATTCACAGCTGGCTTGAGTCATCGAAAAAATGATCCTGACACGATAATGCACGGGATAGCGCCTGGCTAGAGAGCGCAGACGGTAGACGCCCTCTTAGCGCCCCAAGCTAGTTGTGAATCAGCTATAACAAGAGTGCAATGGGACATGAGAAGGCGCTGAAACAGTAAAAATGTGCCGGAACACACTTTTAAAGTTTGAATTCCGAATTGTTCCCTTTTCATATATTTTTTGTTTGCCATTGTATAAATATCAATATTCAAGAAACAAATTAAATGAGATTAAAAAAAATGCTTTTTCAATTAAACAATACTGGAAAACAAGTTATACCTGCTTCCACAAAAAGTCGAGTTTTTTGAGCGAGGCCAACGATTGTGGTTCTCAGAACGTCCACCAAACTGTTGACTTCGTTTTCAGTTACAGAAGAAAATCCAACGTTGTCGAGGATCATCCCGACGGACACACGAAGTTGGAGACGAGCATACTCCTCGGCGCTACCCGGTGGAGCATACGACATCCCTGAAATCAAGTTGTTAAGAAAATAAAAACAATCAATTAACAAGTAATGAAATTGATGAAAAACTTGAAAACTTTGCAAAAAGTATATGATGAAATGAGCGAAGCAGATATGAGATAAACAACAGATATGAGCGGATAAGAAGGAAAAACAACTTTTTCGCACCTCGCCGCTGCCCAAGAGATTTCCAATGGGGCGCGCTTTCCGTTCCCACGCCAAAAAAGACGCATCTGCCTGTGGGTCAACGGCTGGGCTACTTTAATGGCGTGTTCAAAGTGATTCCGCAAAAAGCAAAATGGTTGTCAGAGAAGGAAAAATATAACTAAAGTTTGGAGAATCAAAGATATTTTCGCATTTCGCGAAAATTACTTTGAATACGCCATGAATTGCGTATGAAATTCCGTTAGGAACGTGTCATTGACCAAGTTATGATGAATGGGGATATTTTATCTGCACAAAGTTAGAAAAAAAGATTATTTGATTATATTTTTTTAAAAAAATGGTTTTTTTCATATTCAAAGTTTAATTTCACACAATGAAACTCCACATCAATAAAATTATAAACTCCACAGACTTCAAAAAAATTTTTAAATTTGGAAAATGAAGCTCTTCCATAATTTAATTTTTTTATTACTTCATTATCCCTCAAGGTTTGAATAATTAGAAATAATTTTTTTAATGGTGTTCCGACTTTTTCGTAAAATTAAATCAAAGAGTTTTTTTGACAAAATTCAAAAAGGAAAAACTATTTTTGCACTTCACTGAAAATAAATTTTTTTCATCAAGAAATGTTCATTTTTTTCGAAAATTTCAATGAGATACAGGAAAGCAAGGAAGCTCAACTATCATTTCATAAATGCTTATATTATTTGTCGATATGAATTTTTGAAATATCGCTGATTTGATGAGCTCATCAATGGACCGCGTAATTTCCCACGGAGACTATGCGCTCCATTGATAATACAGTATCCTTGTGCGTTGCGACTTTTAAGTGCTTTTTGACATAATCATGTTATGTACAGAAAGTTTATAACCAGTAAACTATCGACTGTGATTGATAAAGCTTGATTAAATGGACGAAAAAAATCAAAAAAATGTAATCCTTTTTTTATATAAATATAGCAAGTAGACGATTTTTTTCTCTAATAAAAAAAATAAGGTTTTTCTTTAAAAAAATTTAAAAAAAGGACAAAAAAATTGCAAAATGAAGGAAAAAAATCTTCAACATGGTGATCTCAAACCAGCATGAAATGTTTTTCATTTTAAATCCGATTTCAATAAGAAAATTCTTGGAGGATTTGAGGGAAACTAGTGAAATGAGAAAAGTTCTCATTGTCGCCAACGGGCGAATGATATTTTCAAAGACGCTCTGGAGTTTGCTACGCCAAACGGGCTCTGGGCCGACAGGAAAATCGTACCTTTTGCCACGCTATTCGATCATCTTCATCCTCTTTTTTTTCTTTTTTTTTTCTTCCATTTCCTTTCCAAGACAAAGTCTGTTCACGAACGTTCCCTGGACCTTCACAAAAATTACACGAGTTTTAAAAAAGTTTTGAAACTTCTATGAAAAGCTTGCCATTTTTCGGAACTTCAAAGATCTCGAAAAAGTTTTGTAAAGTTATTTTTTTTAAATCTCGATGAAAAAGGTCAAGAAAATTTTTTTCAACATCCTCTACGAGTTCAAAATGGGAATTCAAAAAAAGAAAATAACGTGTTATAAATTATTTTGGTTTATTTCAGGAAAACTCGCATTTTCAAGCTGCTTTAGAGTGGATTTCTTAAAGTTTCAGTTGCTCTCTCAGTGTACAAAAAACGATCATTATATAGTCAAAGTCTTTCGGTTCAGCCATTCTATGTGATTTTCAACATTCAAACACTCAGAAGAAAAGTAATCTCAGCGTATATCTTCTCGGGTAAAGTCGGAATGGTGAATAATGGCCGCTAAAAGGAAGAGGCTCACAAAAGGCCTCACAAAGGCAGCAAAAAGAGTCCCTTTATCGAATCTCCCTTTTTTCTGGGATTGTAGAACCTGGGAGAAAAAGGGATAGGCAGCAAAAATGGTGCATAAAAGTCGATGAAATGGCGCAAATAGGTAGCAAAAAAGGAACATTTCTATGGAGATTTTTTCCACCTTTTCCGACTTTGCCTATGTTGTACATACATTCTGATGGTTTCGATGACAATCCTGCATTTTCCAACAAAGTCAGCGAAAACCTTGATCCCCTTCCCATACTTTTGTCAGGTGATATATTCCACCACAAACAAATATTATTATTGCGAGCAAACGAGAATACTCATTAATTGAGTGCACTGATTGATGTCAACAGAACTGAAGTTCTCGTTACTCTCCAACTGAGAGCATTCCGCGAATTTCTCTAATGAAGTAATTAACATTAATTTATCACATCTTTCCTAGAAATCTGTCGCTTTTGAGTTCTCGGATCGTGATAAACGCCGTGAATTAAGAAGAGGAGGAAAATGGCAGCGATTCGTTCTAAGTGGATAATCTAATGAATTGTAAGCTTCGCAGTCTTTTTCTAGGAATAAAATACTCTCGTCTCCTCGTGGGCTTTTGAGCAATAATATTCACGTTGACATTCTCCGAAAAAACTTTGCCACCGACACGGAGACCTCTGGGCTCTTCGCTCGAACGACCTCATATTTGTTTTAACTTCGGTTTCTTTCCTAGCCACCGCCGAGGGCCACATGCGCGTCAATATGCGCGGCCTCTGGACGCTGTTAGTCAAATTACCAATTTTTCCATTAGAGTCTTTTTTCTTTTCTTTTCAAGGCTCCTGGCTAGATATAATGTCGAGAAGAAAGCTCTTTCCGCCTTTTTTTGAAAAGAGAAATAATTATGAGTGCTCTCAACTGTAACTGAAGCAAGTGAGGTGGGCGTTCCGCTTCTAAAACCCATATAAGCGGATGATAAACAACTTTTCTTCTTCTCGGCTTTCCACAATCGCGGTGTCCTGTTTTTCTGCCACAAGTTCATTGCATCCTTGGTCCTGGAAGTTATTTTGGCGGCGGTTTGTTTTCTTTTCAAATTTTCTCCCACTCTACTTTCACGCAGGGAAAGCGTCTAGTTTTCCATTTTGCACTTTTTATCCAATATTAACAATAAATATCCATTTCCCGCTCCTGAAAATGCTCCTTTTGGATTTTTGATTTACCCGAGTAATTTTCGACATTTTTCTGTTCTTTTTCAGAGGTATATAATTATCGAGAGTTGAAAAATCACATTCAAATATAATTTCACGTGTTGAAAAAAATCACATTCAAATATATTTTTACGACAAAAAGCATTCAAAAAGAACCGGACACTTTTCATTCAAAAAAGAGACAGCAATCCCTATGAAAGGCTGTTATTTTCAAGGAATAATTGGAAAAGAAGACGTGCAATTTTTAAATCGTCAATGCGATTGTAATAAATATTAGGCCGGGTTCGGCAGCGCGAGGAGACCCAAACAGCCACGGAATCCCTGAATTTCGATTATTTGCTCAGCAACTCGCTGTTCGCAGGCAAACTTGCTTCAGCGCTACCGAATGGTTCCCAGCCTTTTTTTCTTCCTTTTTTGCTTTTCCGTCTCGGACAAAGTCTCTGGTTGCAAAGTGTTCACACTCCTGTCCAGTTGAAGTTTTCGATCTTAATTCATCTATAAAAAGGTGAAATCACTAATTTTTTAGACTTGCAAAAAAAAGGCGTTTCCCATTAAAACTCATTTCTCGCTTCGTTTCCGATACCGATAATCAAAAACTGCTTTTATGTCGAGAAAATTTTCTTTACATGGAAAAAATCTATGAAATTATTGTTTTTCGTTTGCCACATCGAGATGTGAATCAAATTACCGACCCTGAATATTTTAGCTTTCTATGAAATGTGCATATTTTGTCCTTTCCGTTGTACTTTCTCATGATTTTTCTCTTTCACGTCTCAGTTATTTTGAGCCAGACTCACTTGTCCTACAAAAAGCGCAAAGCATTTTCACAGGGCGTCCATTGTGATTTTCCTGAAAATAAAAAAATCTCGGAGGCATTTTCTCATAACATTTGCTCCCAGACAGATGGCGATAAACGACGCGTCCAATTTGATGCAGCCCTCTTTGATCCACGCATTTATTTTTTTCCAAGTGGGATCGGACAGGTTATTTGAGTCATCGAACTATGAGCGTCCTCGCTCACTCTCTCATGTTTTCGTGTTTTTTGCCGAGTCTATCGTTTTTTGAAGTTTTTTTCTTCGTTCCCGTTTTGTAATTTCATTTGAACAGATGTCTTCGATTACTCGCGCTGTGACAGCCAGGCTCAATGAATTCACTCACGGAAGGAAACGACTCACCGCAGAAGGTTTTTTTTTCATTCTTCATCTCTATTAACCTGCCTGAATAATAATTTTTTTCTTTTAGAAAAAACAACTCCATCCACTAGCGACGTTCATTTTTACATTCCGCCTGCACTCATTTGGGAGGAAGTCCACGAGTCTTCGAAGGTCGGTGAAGTTGCATTTTCCCAGCCTTAATACGGAAAAGATTGCATTTCAAAAAGGCGTTCCTCGAAAAATGTTCTCACCATTACGCGTCCTAATTTCATTGGATGTCGTAAACTTTTTTGTTATTGACACTTAAGTTTGTTCCCATGCCGGGTTACTCTTTGGCCGAAAAGCTCGTTTCAAGCCTTTGAAGCGTTGGCAAATACTCTGTGTAGCTCCGCATACAATATTGGGCTCGTCAACGTCGTTTTGACCGAAACCACGTAACAAATTGTTTGCTTTCCTGTACCTGGAAGCAGGTGTACGTCCGAGGACTTCCGTTTCCTCCCATGAATCGCTAACAAAAAGAAGTAAAAAGCTATGATTCATTCAAGCTGGGAAAGAAGCAGTAATTGTGCATTCAGCTCATTTTTAATTTGATTTCAGCAAGTGGGCCTTCTGAAAGGTTCAATTAGGGGAAGTTAATTGGGTTTTCAGATGGGATGTGAAGAAAACTGGATGTCCGGATATTTTCTCAAGAAAAAAATACTTTTTCACAAAAGCAAACATCGTCATTATTCTTCGACGCAAAGTCTGTTCTTCCAAAGCCTGAAAATAATTCACAAGTGTAAAACGAGCTATTTATTCCCTTAGCGTGAGCATAAATTTCATGTCTTCACGCTTTTCATTGCAGCAACCTGTGACGGTAGACGTTTCTATTTCTCCGGAGAGTCGAGAGATCTCCAAAAGCAGCATCAGCCCCATGAAGCTCACGCAGAAGGTTTGTGAAAATGCATGGTTCAAACTTTTGATTTTCTTAATCAATTGAAATACTCCTAATACACCAAGAATTTAGATGAGTTCTGTGGTCCGAAGACTTTCTCCATTCAGCGACGATGGAAATTTTTCAACGCTGGAAAACAAAACACCAGCCGCCGAGAACACAAATGAAGAGGCACCCCAAGCAAAAAAAGGACCTTTCAAAGACACCGTGAGCTCGTTCTCACATTTCTCAAGAACTTATTTTTACATCAAAGTCCTTTGGTTAAAATCGAAAAGTCATTTTTTTCAGAAGAACAAGATGGACAAACTGAGAAAAATGCGGAAGACAAAAGATCGGCAGCAACTGATCGATTCCGACGAGGATGACTCCTAACTTATCTATCGAATTCTCATGAAAACGAGTTGTATTTAAGCTTTACGTCCACGCAATCAATCGTTGTAAAAACTTGATGACAATGACTTTCTCGATTCCAATCTCTATATCGATTTCCAAATGAACCTGTGAAGTATTGAATAAAGCTGTGAACTTTTTTTTGAAATGATGAGTTTTTTTTTTCAGTTTCTTCCAGCTCCTCTTAAGAGTGATTCATTATGAAACACAATAAAAAGTCCAAAGTTAAAGAAAAATTTTTTTTACTGAAGACAAATACGCCAGGACTGAGGCCTTTACGGATACCAGTTAAGATCGAGGTCGACTCCACATGGACCCTTGTAGTCGCCAGCATATTGGTGGATATTGGGCTTGGTCCAGCCACCGAAAGGCACAAAACCGGTGTAATCCTGAAATTTTGAAGCTTTTCATCTTTTCGAAAGTGAGATATAAGACTTGATGTCCATTGTAGTTAGCCCACCAAAGCGGACGAGTGTGCCATTGATTCCAGTCGATTCCAACAATATTTCCCCAGTTGTGATTGTTGGTATAGATTCCCCAGTTGACGCCAAGAGCCTGAAGTTTATATCTCTGTTTCTGAAGGGCTCTTCAATCACAAACGTTGAGTTCATTTCCTAGACGAGTGATGAAGTCTCTGTTATGGTTGATGTCAGCAGGCCAGGCGAGAATTTCAATGTCGAGCCACAGCATTCCATATTGAGCACCGGAGGCTTTCAGTTTGTTGACGGTGGCTTGAACTTGAGCTTCGGGAGAAGCGCAGGTCGATCGCAAGCACGGGAAAATGTAGCCGTCTACGTACTTCCATCCAGCTGTAATTTTTTTTTCTTTACCGGTAGAATTTTCGAATTATTGGAAGAGAATCTCATGAAAAAAGGGAATCAGTCTCAGTAGTGTTTTGTCTCAAAATGGAATATTTCCAAAAACGTCTAATAAAAAAATGCAAAATTTTTCGAGTGGTGGTTTACGGTAGCTTATTAAAACGAAGTAGACAATTAATCACCAGCACGAGCATTCTTGATGTTTTGAATGCCAGTGTTATCGTAGTTTCCAACACTTTCCCACACTCGAGCCACGAAAAAAGAATATCCGTTGTTAGCCAAGCATTGGAAGGTGCTCGTAGACATTGGCTAAAATGAAATCGTTTTTTTTTCCGAGAAGAAAAATTCGAAAACCTGGATGGCATCCAGGCCGGTGTCAGCCGCGACAGCGGCCACGAGGCAAAGCAAAAGCGTAGACCTCAAATGGAAAGATGAGAACAAGAATTGAAAAAAAAACTAACCGAATCATGCCTTCCGAGGTCTTCCAAAACTTTCTTGTGTTTCGAGCTTTTATATGACACGATGCTCGTGATGTCCGCTTTCCATTGTCTTATCTCTGATCGCAGCTCTTATCGCAAATTTTTCTTTCAATTTGAGATAATATTCATTGCTGAAACCATTCATTTTTACGAATAATAAGGAACTGAACAAAGGAAAAGCATTTTTCCTTGCTTTGGAATGGAAGTCCACGCCTGAAATAGTTGATTTTGCATGAAAGTCAAGGTTTTTTGCAATTTTTAACATATTTGCATCACACTATTTTCTTTAACACTGTAGTTTGTTAAAACGGCCCTTGCGTCGTTTGATAACAACATTCGTCCTTTTTCGGCATTGGCGTCAAAGTTTGCAATAAAAAATGGCGCTATCAAAAATATTTCCCGGTCTTAACGAGAACTGTCTCATGTTCGATCTATCCAAGGAATTTAGATGGAACAATTAGAAAATAATTTTTTTCGATGAAAAAAAGTTGGAAAAAAATATTTTTTTATTATCTTTGTCGAGCAAATAATTTCAAAATCAATCCTTCAGCCATTCCTCTTCTTCGGGCTCATCCTCCTCAGTCAAGACTTCGCTGAGCCTTCCAGAGGATCCAGGTGTCCTAGGTGAGAGGAATTGTTGTTCAGAAACCGAAGAGAATCGGATGTCATGCGGAGAAAGTCTTTGGGGTTTTGTTGGCAACGAGCCAAGCGTAAGATTTGCTCTCCAGTCTTCTGGGGACTCTTCAATGGGCGGCTCTGTGTTCTTCGAAGAGTCGAGAGAGTCGTTGCTCGTTCGGAGGCTCGTTTGGTCCGTGGCTTGTGTCCGCACCAATCTGCTGCCGCGAGGGTTCTTCTTGTAATGCTTGACGTCTTCGTCGCTCGCTTCTGTTATCACGGACAGTAGCAGGCTAGTCGGCTTGCCGGCGCCGGTCAGACTGGGCGCAGATCCTCCAGTGTTTCTCACTCCAATGGAAGCTCGGTTAGCTTGAGGGCTGCCTTCAACTGCAGACGCTGCTCGGAACGGGGAACTGTAAAAACATAATTTATTTGTCAGCTTCGGGAAACTGGCAAAACTTTATTGCAAAGTTTACCTCAATCTTTCTTCGGTTGGGGTAAGGACTTCAGTGCTTGTATTGTGCGAACTCGCATATTTCGACCTGGAACCGTATTTTTTTTCATATGAAAGTCAAAATTAAACTACCTCATCGTCCCTTTACTCAGAACACTTTCAGAACGAGCCTGGAACTTCTTTTTAATGGACATGTTCTGGTAAACTCCAAGAACTAGAGGAGGCTGTGGTTCTTCAGGAAGTAGAACAGCTTCTGAGTGAAATTAGGATAATCAAATCATATTTTGCGCCTACCACTGATGAATCTCTCGCTGGTAGGTCGGTCTGGAACTTGTAAATTCAAATGTTCCATACTTTTGAATACTTTATTGCGCCATTTCACAGGTGGTGGTAAGGCTTTTTTCTGTGTTGGTGAGTCTGAAAAATAATTTCTTGGCAGCTTTGTTTCAAAACATTTACATTTTGGTTTTTCAGGGTACTCATGTGCTTCGTCAATATCCGAAACTTCTATGATCTCTTCTTCGGGCTCTTCTTTTTCTTGCGATTGTTGATATTCTTGATCAATCAGCTCCAAAGCCCACATGTACTTGTTTTCCACACGTTCCTCAAAATTGAACATTAAAGAAGATCTGAAGCACTCCTGGCCTTTTTCATGCTTTTAGCTTAGAAAAAATTCAAGTCATAGTAAACAAAAGCTCGATCTGAATTTTTTAAGAATTTGCTAAAGAATGGCATGTTCGAAAACCTGTAGTATGGCGTAAACCATTGAAAACAACGCCAGTCCGATAAAATAAAGAGCGAAAAGACCTGAAAAAAACATGAGTCGAAGTTCAGAGAATCGAGCTTACCGCAAGCATTTCTAGGATGCTCTGGAATGACGTCACCAAAGCCGATTGTGCTGAGAGAAACGAAGAAGAAGTAGAAAGCAGTGAGAAAATCCCAGTTCTCCCAAAGGGAGACTAAAACAGAACAGGCTACCATAAATCCAAAAAGGATGAACAGAGCGGCTATTACTGGTAGACTAGTGAACTGATCATCCTGAAGTTTCGATAGTTTGAATAAAACTTCCATTTTTTCTTATATACCGTGGTTTCGTTTTCTGCTTTTCCTGCCTCAGCCTCATTTGCATTGGCCAAATCGGAAGAGAGTCTGTTGTCGGTCAGATACTTTTTCTTGAAGGACTCGTACCCATTGAACACCTTTCTGAATAACTTTGTTCAGCTATAAGAAAAACACCAAAAAGTGAAAACTGACGTAGACACGACGGACCAAACAACGTGAGCTTTGACAATCGAGGCTTCTCCAATTATTTTGAGCACCACCAACATCAGTGGGATGCCGACTAGACCATACAAAATTGTAGCAATCCGCCCAGCGTCTGTTTTACAAGTAAGATTACCATAACCTAAAAATAAAAAGAGTTAAGTTTATCTTATTTTCTCAACCAATTGTGGTGAAAACAGTCCCAGCATAAAAAACGGCATTCCAAAACTCCCAACGCCATCCTTCAGCACCGCAAAGTTTGAGTTCATGAGATCTTGTTACCAAAATGTGAGAAATTATTTGTACGCATTTCGAACTGTTTGTATTATTCTGAAAACGAGAAAAAACAGTTTTGCAACCAGAAAGCAACTGACAGAGCACCCAGAAGTGACAATATGTCTTGCGATCATAGCAGCCGTATCTTTCGAAGTTTCGATCAAGAGCTGAAAAAGTGCCAAAAGTAGGCCTTTTTTTCAAAGAGAAATCTCACCCTTTCTTTAGCTTCGAATTCATCGAGCTGCGGCTTTTCTTCTAACCGCATGAAAATCAAACCACCCAATAAGGCATAACCAATGACCAGCATAACCAGTAATAAATAACGCATACCTATAATGAAATTTTCAAAAAAACCGTCACGAGCTTCAAAATTAATTAGATTTTGAATTTTCACGAAAATGTCTGAATAAATGAACCGACCCAAATAACTGTAGAAAAACCGAAGAATACGTAAAAAGTAAGAAGCCCATGTTTCTCTTTCTTTCAGTCTGAAACTCCACACAGATTATAGAAGAAAAAAAGCAGACGAACTTGATTTCTTCTTTTACTGAATGTTCATGAAAAGCCGGCGAGATAGGAGCAAAATTTTCCGACGATGGTCCAACGGGAGTGGAAGCGAAAGCTGTGGATAGCCGGTCATTATTAGTATACTGCCTGCAATTTTGTAAAAAGGTGATGGAAGAATTAAGAGAAGGAACATGGAAATGAATTTTTTTTTCTTTGCAAATGAATTTCACGTTAAATCAATTTAAAATGAGCCCTAAGAAAATCGGAAAGATCTCCGAAAGATTTCTGAAAATTTGCTGGTTTCTTCAGAAGCCTTCAAAAAGATCATTCGAGAGATTTCTGGAAAATCGGACGCGCTTCTCTTTTCATTATGTTTTTCAGTGTTTTTTGAACTCCATTGTGATTCTCGCAAGCCCTTCGATAAGAAAACGTTGGCAAAAAAAATCATAGCACTGGACAAGAAACATCAACACTTGATAGATCAATCAAGGAACAGAACCGTCAGAAATGAGAATAAAATACATTTGATATAGGACTTGGAAGAATCAGAAATGCAAGAAATGCAAACCTGGAGAATTGATAAGCAGACTGCGTATGACCGATTGGAGAAGTTGGTTCGTCGAAATCGCTAGTTAACAACGTCGAATGTCTGTATCGCTTTCTAACATATTTTTCCAGTACCTGCCAAATAATAAATTAAAAGCCCCAACCCTTAAAAAAGACCTTCATTGCATCCTTGGTCTGGTCGTCGTCGAGAACCGTTCTTTGACGGCGAATTGGCTTCCGCCGCTGCATCGTTCATTCCTTTTTGATAGATCGCAGCACAAAGTCGCCTGAAATTATAGAATGAACTAGCAAATTTTCGAAACGCTTAAACTTAGAAAAAGGAATAAGTCATACTCAGAGAAAAACGATTTTGCCCATAGGAATCGATGCCAGGAAAGTCAAGTATCGCGCCAATGAATCAGGTTTTCGAATCAAAGTTTTTTTTTTACTAAAGCGTTCCGCCGGCCGAAAAAGTGATAAAAATCGTTGGACAGCGCCGGTACCATTAAGACAGAAATAGAATGGAAAGTACTCGAAAGATAAATTCATGAAAAAAATAAAGGAAGAATATTAAATAGAAAGTAACTTTTTTTCCAATAGAAATATAATTTGGAATAAAATTTTTTTAATCTTGAAAATGGGAGCTTTGTGAAGAGATTTATGTAAAAAAATGTTCCTCAAACTATCTTACCGATTTTGTGGATACGTTCATAAAAGATGATAACTTAGAAAATTAACTATTATTTGATTATTTTAATGCTAAACTTGTCTATTTCCCCATAAAATGGGTCCATTTTTTTGAATTTTTTTCAATGAAAATTATGAGAAATATCACTTCAAAAAGCAATTGCAAATTGAATTGATTAACGTCAAAAAAAACGTTGTATTTTTTTCAGAAACAACTTTGAAATTAAAAACAAAATGAAAAACAGGTTGGCAGTTGAACAGGAAGAGTGAGAATTCAAGTCTACTTAGAAACTGACCAGAAATGACCAACTTCCGACAAAAGTGTTCCGTGATAAGATAAAACGAAAGGTTTTTCGAGTTTTTCAAATAGCATCATAAACGGCGTCATTCAGAAAAACGCTGCGCAAGAGGAAAATACTACTATAGAGGAGAAAAATGCATCCTTTCGTGTAGAATTTTGTTATCAAAAATCAACAAAATTTTGCGGAAAAAAAAAATTCAGAACAAATGATTGGACTATAGGTCTAAACTGTCGAAATGCAACAAGAAAAGACACTTGTAGCGCAAAAATCTCGGTCGTCGCACTGTTTTTTTGTCCAACGTGCGAGCAACTTGGCAAATATGCCAACGGCTCGACGTCCGCTTTTCCTCCGTATCAGTGCAAAATCCTTCTGTTAATTCTTGTTTTCTGAGCAGCAAACGGAAAAGTTACCACCCATCTGAATTTAGTTGTGACTTTTTCAAAATTTTTTTGAGACGATTGGGGAATTTATGGTGGGATGATGGTGATTTGATTTTCAGAAAACAAAATTGCAATGGATCTTTGAAGAGTTGTTATCTGAGGTCTACTGCATCTTATCAGAAAGCCTTCTAGTCAATTCATAAAGAATTGAAGCTGTGCGCTACGTACTCATAGAAGAGTAGCAAATCGAATTTTATACATCTTCCAAACTAGACTTGGTGGGAAAATATAAAATTTCTCGGTGCATTGTAATCAAGGATAAGACTATCATGAAAATTACTATCAAATTTTGAAATGGCCAAACTTTTTTGTAAAGGAAATCCGAAAATCGTGAAAGTGCACAAATTCAACCCTTCAGGCAGGTATAAAGAAGCTCTTGAAAACTGAAAATACACGAATGAGTTCAGGGATCTCAAATCAAAAAGTTTTGTGGCCAGATTCTTGAAAATTTCCCCTTTGCTGTCAACAGTTTTGAAGGTTCCCGAAACTGTAAATCAATTCAAGCTCGATATTTATGAATGAAACAAACGATGCTTTGTAACAAAAAAAGGGTGTTCAGGCGTTTTTATCGTTTTTTTCCGCTTTCTCAAGGAATCCAACAAAAGTTTCTCATGCAAAATTAAAAATCTATTAACACTCGGTTGATCGCAAATTTTTTTTTTCTGAATGGAAAGGAGTTTGCCTACGCCCACTGCAAAGACAACTGTTTCAAAGAACTTTTCAGGGAAAATCGAAAAAAATTTGTTTCAATACATAAAAACGACGATTTTCAGGGACGGTGATGGAAACTGTAGAGGATTCGTATGACGCCAGTTCTATTCATTGAGAATATTGTTTTGAGGAACTGCGAGGCTCACGATCCAGCCGAACCGTTCTTTTCATCCTGTGGGCAAATATCAACGTGCAAAGAAGCCTTATTCCAAGCAACGAGTCTGGCCTTTTTCGTTCCTAAACTTCCCTGAAAAAAAAAAGTTTTTATATGGCGCTCGGAAAGTGTTTTTCCTGGATTTGAGCTCTGAGAAGTTTTTATCTTCTCACTTTAACACTCGAAAACCTTCAGGTACTTGGTTGAGCGTTCTCTTGACTGTAACCAACAAACAGTTCGAATGAGTGGGTTTTGACAAATGACGTAGCCGATTTTCTGGGGAACAGCTCTCAGGGCTTTGTTTCCACAGATTGCATTAAAAGAAAAACCAATCGAACAAATCAATTTTTCTTTGTTCGTTTGACTTTCTAAAAAATTATTTTTCATTATTTTTTGAAATTGAGTGTTCAAGAAAATGTTTTACAAATAATTGAGAATTTTTTTCAATCTTTCACTTCTTAAGAGATCTTCAAAAAAAGTTTTTTTGGAGGGTAAAAAGCGAAAGTTTCCAGATCACTCATACAGAAAAATCTTGAAACTTTCGAGGGAAACGGATTTCATAGTTCACCACTTTAATAGAGAAATAATTGTTTCATTAGAACTTGGATGAAAACAGTGGAGGGACCGGATTTCAAAGCTTCATAGCTTATCAATGTCTGATAAAACACTGAAAATCGCTCAAATCGAATGCGTTTAGAATCAGAACTTTTCATCAAATCCAAGCAGTTGAGTTTTACGAAATTTGAATTTTTTCAGAAACAGTTTGCTCGCGTATAGAGCAGCATCACGTTGAGAGATGACCTTTTGCGTAAACCGCTCCGAGTCGGTACATCGATTTCCATAAGAGGAGCGCCGTCTCTACCGAAGTGTTACTTCATTGTTCGTAATAGCAATACCAAAGGAAGGCATGAGTCGTGGCCTCAACGCGGCGCCTTCTGGGTGAGGCTTTGTCTCAGCAGAGAGCGACTCATTTTTGTGAAAGCCAGCCGCAAGGCTGGCAAAAAACTATATATTTGGAAATAAAATATTCTTCAAACGATTAGTATTTTAAATATAATTCAAAATGAAATGAAAAAAAAAGTTATCTGTCTATTTCCTTAAACGAGCCTTAAAGTTCAGTGTTTGAATTCTCAAATTCGTCTTGAAGCAGTTTTTCCGTAATTGTGCCCTGGTTTCATATCGCACCATTCCATGTAGAATTGATATGAAGATGAATGCATACGACGTCCGAAATTTTCCCGCTGGCGATAAATCTCACAAAAAGAAAAGGCGACACTGTGATTTGTGTGATGGAGATTGACGGTTTGGAGAAAGCAACGACCTCGTCGGATCAAGGCTACGCGTGGTCATTCAGAGTATCGTTACGTCCAAGTTTTTAACTAGGTTTTCAGGGTTGAAGTCGGGTTTGATCTGGGTTTGTATATTCTCTAGCTTTCAAAAAATAACATTTTACTCAAAAATTTTTTTGAGTTGGTGGAAAGTTAATGAAAGTACTGCAATATCTTGGGCAACGTTCAAAAAAAATTTTTTATTAAGTATTTAGGAAAAAAACTTCCGTTTATTGAATATGCACTTTTTTGCTGTTAAAAACGGACAAATTTTCACTTAATATGCGTTCTCAAGTCCTGAGGCCAGTGAACAATTTTTTTCTTTTTTTGTTTTTTTATTCCATAAATTTATAAGTTTTTTTCTCGTCCTTGACAACTTTTTTTCCGGAACTCATTATTGAGTCAATTTTTCTCTGGCTTCACTAGAATGATGATGATATTAAAAAAACATTTTTTTCAACTGTCTAAAAGAAAATTATTTTTAAAATATCAAAATTTCAATATTGACGCTTGAAGTTCATTTCCCTTTAATCTCTTAAAGCTATATGAAACAAATTCTATTTTTGTAATTCTCAAAGATCTGAGCGATTTCTCCACTTCTCGCGTAAATAGGATTCTTCAAAAAAAAAAGTTTTCCGAAACTTTTCATCAAAGTGATGAGAAAACCGGAAATTTTAATTAAAACGGCTTTTTTTTCGATGTAACCAGTGTCATGAAAAACTTTTCGGTTAGGTTTTCGAAACATATGAGACGGTTCTCATGGGAAATTCTGAGAATAAATAACCTTGAAAAAAATGTGAAACGGAATACTTCACGAACTATTTTGACAGAATCATAAACATGAAATTTCATGCTATTTTTTTACTTTTTTTGATTTGAAAAAAATATTTTTTTCTTTTTATTTCCTATTTTTTTCATACTGAATTTTTCAAATCATCTCGACAATTAGTCCTAATGACTTCTTTTTTTGAGAGTTTTTCCGCTTAAAGCTGGAATTCTCTAAGAAGAGTGTCATACGTGCCTAAACACAAAATTTTTTTTGAAAAAGTAGTTGAACAAAATGAAAATGTGTCTCTGCGATGAGTAGCCGCCACACCCAAACGAATTCGGTTCGGCGCCTACGCCTTTTACAAAAAATGGGTACATTCTTCTGTTTTTTTTTCTGTATAAGCCCTTTCTATACACCGTACGCAACTTTGATCAAAAGAAAAAACAAGAAAAACTGGAATTCGAAGTGAATCACTCAAATAAGAAAAAAAAATCAGGGGTTATTGAAAAATAATGAAACTTTTTGATGCTTTTAAAATAGTAATTGGAAATTTTGAAGCATTAAACTTTAATAAAAATACCCATAAAAACAGAAATAATCCTTTACCATCTTCTAAAAACTGCTGATAAACTTAAGGGTCAAGTGAAAACATAATATCCGGAGATTCCTTGCATCCATTCTCAAAAAATGGCCGTAAAGTTTTTCAAAATCAATTATGGAGCTGATGAAAAATTGAAAATCAAGGCTAAGGAGTTGATCAATGACCAAAAGCCTTTGATTTTTTATGAAATTATTTTCGAAATTTTCACCATCACTTTGTAAAAAAATCCTCCCAGCGTATACTTCTGTGTTCAAAAATCTTCTGATGGTGCGTCAGAACTTCCGAATGATTCATGCTACTGTCCGCCAAGTTTCTTTTTTCCATTGCTTCAACCACACCCAAGCATTTTCATCAAATCACTCTAATTAGTCAATCAATGTGAGTGATTCATCTTGTCCTTGCAGTATGAGATCTTCTCGCCACACCGAGTCAAGTTTAATGGATCTGGTTGCGAGGCCGCGCCCAAACGTCTCCGTCAGTTGCCCCGCCCAGCATCTTTCTGTTTTTCGTTATTGCAGCCATCGACCACTTTCCTTTGCGCTCCGATTTGTCATTTCCAAATCAACAATTTTCTTTTTCTTTATTTTGTTTGTTCATCTTCTTCTCTTATATAAACGTTTTCGGGAGAGTTTTGTCATCATACCGGGTTTTTAGAGAAATGTCGGAAGAATACCGCAGCTCGATCACGTCGCGTCCGTCCTTCAACAGGACTGTCACGTCCAACACCCAGAACTACAGCACCCCTGGTAACATTTTTCTCTGGAAATTCTGATAAACCTCATGATTCTCAGGATCTGGAAACCGAGTTCTGAAGATCGTGACAGAAATGTCGTCCTCCTCGGTGGCCAGCGGCCTCTCACCTTACGGTCAGAACGCTGCTTCCACCATTCGAGATGCTCGTGAGCGTGAAAAAAAAGAGATCATGGACCTCAACGACAAACTTGCCAACTACATCGAAAAAGTAGAGTTCCAAATTCGGAAATCTTGACGGGAAATATTTAAGGTTCGCTTCCTCGAAGCTCAAAACCGCAAACTCGGCGCGGATTTGGATATGTTGAAGAACAGATGGGGCAAAGACACCAGCAGCGTCAAGATTATGTACGAATCAGAGATCACCACGGCCAAGAACGTGAAAAAGCTCCTTTGTTGCTTGAGCCATGAAATTTGTTCAGGTGATTACCCAAACAGGCAAGGAAAAGGAGGATTTGGAGAAGGAGATCCGTAAGCTACAAGACGAGCTGAACGAGATGCGCAAGAAGTGATAAAAAGAGAAAAAATATTTTACCTAATTTTGCGATCAGGTTTGATGAAGCTACAAAAGGACGTGCCGGCGATCGTCAGAAAATTGATGACCTTCTTGTCCAGCTCTCCAATCTTGAAGCCGAGATTGCCCTGCTCAAGAGAAGAATCGCCCTTCTGGAGGAGGAGATTCAGCGTTTGAAGAAAGAGAACATGCGACTTATGGGAGATCTTCAGCGCGCCAGAACTGTTAGAAAACTTTTTCGAAACGTTTTTCATCACTATTTTCAGGACCTTGACCAGGAGACCCTCAATCGCATTGATTATCAGAACCAGGTCACAACCCTGTTGGAAGAAATCGATTTTATCACTCGCACCCATAACGAGGTTACGCCCGCATATCTATCGCAACTTTGAGTATTTCTAGGAAATTAAAGAGCTTCAAGCACTTGCCGCTCGAGATACTACTGGAGAAAACCGAGAGTACTTCAAGAATGAGCTCGCTTCCGCTATTCGTGACATTCGTAGCGAGTACGATCAGGTACTTTCAACCCAACCTCTTTAAAAAAAAGTGGATTTTTCAGATGATGAACGGCAACCGCAACGACTTGGAGTCGTGGTACAAGCTCAAGGTGCAGGAGATCCAGACTCAAAGCACCAGACAGAACATGGAGCAAGGCTACCAGAAAGAGGAAGTCAAGCGTCTCCGCACACAAATCGGTGATCTTCGCGGAAAATGGGCTGATCTTGAAGGACGAGTTAGCATCTGAGCTCTAAAGTTGTGAGAAACGCTGTTTTTTCCAGAATGCGCTCCTCGAAAAACAAATCCAAGAGCTTAACTTCCAATTGGAAGACGACCAGCGTTCTTATGAAGCCGCGCTCAACGATCGTGATGCTCAGATCCGTAAGATGAGAGAAGAATGCCAGGCTCTGATGGTTGAGCTGCAGATGCTGCTCGATACCAAGCAGGTATCCATCCATACAGATTGATTTTGAAAAAAAAAGAATTACAGACTTTGGATGCTGAGATTGCCATCTACCGTAAAATGCTTGAAGGAGAAGGAGATGGTCCTGGACTCCGCCAGCTCGTCGAACAAGTCGTCCGTACGACCGGCATCAATGAAGTCGCCGACACGGGTGAGTCCGACTATCAAAATCTTAGAAGTTCCAATACAGTTGATCATTTGAAACTCTAAAAGAAAAATATAATTATTCTTCTTCCTACGCCTTTGTACCGCTTCGGCGTCCAAAGTCGATTTACCGAGGCCTTATACTGTATCAGGTCACTAAAAATTCAAAAAGAGTTCTATTCTACGAATCCCTCTGAGGAGTTATGCATCGGTCTTCGCACTCGTAGTTTGCAAGATTCAACAACCGGACTGCTGTGCCCCGCTGAGAAAGATCTCATTTCGAAACGAATTTATCTCAGAAACGATGCGCGTCGTCAAGGGAGAAACCTCGAGCCGCACGTCGTACACGCGTTCCGCCAAGGGCAACGTCTCCATTCAGGTGTGTCCCAATCTAGCGGAAGAGAACTGTTCACGGCGCATTACATAATCACAATACTATCTAAAAAAAATTTGTGAGAAGGGACTAGTTTGAAACGGTAGGCTTCTGAAAAAAACAGATCGAACTGGATAGAAAAAAAAAGTTAGTGTGGGCTATAGATGTTTTTGAGACCTGCTAAGATCAAATGGGACTTATAAATTCATTCTGAAAAAAGGAAGAAAATATTTTGCCCGAGCTATGAATCCTTTTCTATCTAAGAAATCAATCGGTTAAGTATCTTGAAGATTTTTAATTTTTTTTTTCATGACTTCTTGCCGCGACTCCAAAGAGTCTGGCTTGCAAAAGAACTGTTAATAATTGATTATGGCTTATCTTAAGTCAATTTGAAGGCAACTAAAAAAGTGAATGAACGGCTTTTGGAGCCGCTTAACTCTTTTTACTTGCTTTCTCAGCTTTTGCGATTTTTCCAACATAAAGCTTTTGGATTTTTCAGGAAACTTCACCGGAGGGCAAGTTTGTCGTTCTCGAGAACACGCACCGCTCCAAGGAAGAAGCCATCGGAGACTGGAAACTCAAGAGGAAGATTGATGGAAAACGCGAAATCGTCTACACCCTACCGGCCGATTTTGTTTTGCGGCCTGGCAAGACCGTCAAGGTCAGTGTTCGGAAAAAAAAGAGTGCAGTCGTGATAGGTCTTGTTTTTGTTGATCAATTCGGAAAGATACGCTCCCTTTCTCTTTTGATTTTTTGGTTGGTTGATGCTCATTGAAGTTGATTGTTATCTGAGAAGTCGGTTTTGAGGGTCAAAAACGTTTTTCCGCGCTTGAATAACGTGTGATACTTTATTCGAAAAAAATTGAAATGTTTTTTTTTACCTGATAATCATTCATCCATACAAAAATCTAGAAATTTATATGCCCGCAAAAAAAAGGATTACATTTCAGATCTTCGCCCGCGGCCATGGCCAAAGCAACCCTCCAGATGCTCTCATTTTTGAAGGAGATGACACCTTCGGAGTTGGTTCCAACGTCCAGACCATTCTCTACAACACTTCCGGCGAGGTACTCAAAAATGATAGAATCTTCCAACGAAATCTTTTCCAGGAACGCGCCACTCACGTTCAGCGCCAGAGCCAGAGCGCTTCTTAAGTGCTCACTTGCTCGAAGAAGCCTTCCCTTCTTTCATGAGAAACTTTGCATTCCAATCTTTTATTATTTTTCCGATCATAAAAAGTTTCCTTTCGTTCTTTTACACTTTTATTGCACACAAACGGAAGGCTGCTTGAAATTTTCCGTTTCTTTTGAAAAAAAAATTCGCTTGAAAAAGATTTTTTTTTCTCAAAAGTCAACTTTTTGAGATAAAATCCATTCTCATTTCCGATTGAAAAATGAAATCAACTTCTACTGAAATTTTTTTAAATAAGTTCTTAGTAGTCCTTGATGTCAGCTAATGAAAAACTTGACCCGATTTTTAATTCAGTTCTCTGTAAATTCTCGAAAAATCGAATTATTTTGCCTACTTTTAAAAAAAGTTTTAGTCTCAAGTTATGAGATCAAAGGCTTATCAGTCAACTTGTGGAACCCGGAATGATGGAAATCAAACAACGAGAAAGTCGACAGATTTTTGACATGACAGTTTTTCATCTGTAAACAGTCCAGCAACAAAAAGAGCTCATGAGCCCTCGAGACACGAGTAAAACTTCATCTTTTTTTCTTCTTTTTATCACAATAATTAACTGTCGGACGACTTGATAAGGCAAGCTTTTGGGAAATGTTTGCGTTTTGTGTGACTAACAGTTCATGGCAGTTTCCCGCTTCAAACGTGGAGAATAAACACTTACTTGGAGCTTTATTTTCTAAAAATAAGCTGATGTAAAGGGCGTTTCAAGGTTTTTTTTTTGTAGACTTTAATCAGTCACAAGCCCTTTTTCATCGGCTTTATGTGGCTGCCTGTAGAATTTTCGCAATCAGACAGTTTTCGCCCTATCAGTCGAACTATCGGCTTCATCTTTATCGTGCCTTTCAAGTCATTGTTTCCTTCTTTTTTCTCTTTTTAGGCAAATAGAAATATTTATAACTTTCCAATTTTGTAATGAATCAATTATTTTTTTATCCAGCGGAACACTTTCGTTTGGATGAAAAAAAGCTTTTATTTTTTTCAAAAATAAACAATGTTGTAAAACGTTTTTTTGTTGCACTTTTTTTCGTTATTTTTCCTGCGAAAAAAATGTATTTCGTTTTTTTCCTTTGAAGTTTTCTTTTCAACAAGTTTATTCACAATTATTCTTTAGTCGAAAGTTTTTTTGCAATCACCTTTTGATTGTTTTCAAATGGCTGTCAGTCTCAAAATCAACAAGTACAGAAAAAAAAAACTTCTTAATTTTGATGAAATCAACCAGTGTTATCATATGACGTCAGAATTGCGAACACAACTTTTTGAGACATTTCCTCCAACCGTAGCCGGGTTACGGTAGGCAGGAGATCACTTGCGTATCAAGGACTTGACGACTCTTTTTCTAGGCAAGATGTATATTAATCGATAGATAATGCGATTTTTGAAATTTTTTTCCAGTAGATACCATTTTGAATTACTGAAAAATTTTTGAAATATGTTAATTTTGTGTTTGCGATTTTGGTTTTCGATTACCCTGTTTGCAATAGATGTTTCATGTTAAAGTCATCTCTCTAAAAAGTTTGTTGGGTTATTAGCTACAAGTATATAGCACATGAAAGAACTAACTTCTATACGTTTTTTTCTATCGCGAAAACTGTGTGAAAATAATCAAAAAAATTTTTAAATTTGGAAACTCCCAATTATGACTTGTGTCCGATTTTTTTCCGTCCTTATTTTTATCTGCGCTTCTTTTAACGCCCGTTGACTACTGATAATGAAGCTTTTATTAGGTCAAACATGGGAGCAATCACGGAACTCCGAAGCGTCAGTTGTGAAGTGATTGTCGGCGAAGACCGAAAATCAGTGGTAAGGCCTATTTAAAAAGGGGACACTGTTTTTCTCTATATTAGGTTATGCTTAAGAAATCATTGTCTGTAATCAGATGATAAAAAACCTCATACAAAAATTGGAAGAAAACAGTTTCTAGCTTTCATAATATAATTCTGATTTCTTCACTTGTGAGGCGAAAAAAACAAAATGTTTTTCATTTTTAAATGAACTTTAGTCCGAAACTACGTTTTTTTGATAATTTTTTTCTGATAAAGTTGAAAATGTTTCAGGTTTATGCAGTGCGAATCGACAAACACAAAGCTCAAATTCAACGTCCTTTTGATGAATATGACAAGTTCTTCGTTAAGGTTGTATCTAGGAAGAGTTGCTCAAGTTGGAAGCATGGTCTTACGATCCTTTGTCTCGTTGTTCTGCGTGTAGTCCATCCGATTGAACCATAGTACTGAAAACATATCGAAATTATGTCTATGCAAAAATTTTCTTCCGGCTTCCAAAGTGGGCTAGAACAAAAAAAAAGAAGTACCGGTTTTTTTTTTTGAAGAGCGGCATATCTTTAATACAGACTATAATTCAGATCCGAGACCTTTTGCCGTCGACAACACCTCCACCTCCGAAGAAACGGTTTCTGCAGGCCGAGCAACGTCTTCATGACAAACGACGACAATGGATCGCCGCTATATGCCAGACTCTTATCAATGACCACAGCAGGGAGTCGGTTTTCCTATTTAGGATTCTTTAGGATTTAGCGCAGAAAATCGGGAGAATAGCCAGGAAAAAAGTTAACTCATCTTTCGCTTGATTTCCATGTAAGATTTGAAGCAATTTGTCGTTTCAAATCACTTTTAATGTCTAGTTAGTTTGGTTCAACTTTCTAATGAAAATCTAAGAAAAAAGTAACTTCGGAAAATCTCATTTTTTGTCAGTTTTCTTCACATTTTCGACATGATTCATCAAATCATTCAAATAATCAAAGAACGCCCAAAAAATTTGTTAAATCCGTTTTTTCGATTTTAATAGCTAAAGCTGTAGGTAACCAAATTCCTCAATTTAGCGACCGCATCAAAGAATTCTTCAACATCGAGCGTACGGACAGCGAATCTTCCGATGAATGCGACGTTGAGCTTCCCCGGGAAGTCAAGACGTAATTGAGGCCATCGCTCATTTTTTCATCCAGAATTTCAGTGCCGGCCCCGAAGATTTTGATTATCTGACGACAATCGGTAAAGGAAGTTTCGGTCGAGTTTTCCAAGTTCGCCACAAGGCATCTAACAAAATTTATGCAATGAAAGTTCTTTCCAAAGAACACATTCGTAAGAAGAATGAGGTTGGTGGAATATAAATTGGGTTTGAATATCTTTTCCTCAGGTTAAACACGTGATGGCGGAAAGAAATGTCCTCAAAGAAAACTTCCACCATCCTTTCCTTGTTTCTTTGCATTATTCTTTCCAAAACAAGGAAAAACTCTACTTTGTTCTCGACCACTTGAACGGCGGAGAGGTAATTTCAGCGGGCTGCAAAAACGATAATTCTGATTTCAGCTGTTTTCTCACTTGCAAAAAGAGAAGCATTTCAGCGAGTCTCGCAGTCGTTTTTACGCCGCCATCATTGCTTGTGCTTTGGGGTTCTTGCACGAAAAAAACATCATCTACAGGTTATAATCAATTTTTTTTGAGAATGTAGTGGCTCAATGTATCATTGATCCATTTTTGAACTCTTCTAATTTTTCTGAGTTCTTCTTCTGGGCAAAATTCTTCCGTTGTATTCTGTATTCTTATTCATGTCGTGGAAAAGTTCATCTTCCAAAAATCATTCACTTTATCGATTACAGAGACTTAAAACCAGAAAACTTGCTTTTGGACGAAAGAGGTTACCTAGTTCTAACCGATTTCGGTCTCTGCAAACAGGGGATGGTTGGCAATAAAACTACTTCCACTTTTTGCGGAACACCGGAGTAAGATATTAATTCACGCGAAGCTCTCATTTCAATGCCTTTCAAGATACTTGGCACCTGAAATCATTTCGAAGAAACCCTATGACAAGACTGTCGACTGGTGGTGTTTGGGATCTGTTCTTTACGAGTTTCTCTTCGGCTTGGTGAGCGCCAAAACCAAAAATCTTCTCTAATTTGAATTTGAGCCTCCATTTTATTCGCGAGACCACAATGAAATGTATGAACGGATCGTTCATCAACCGTTGAAGATGAAGCATCAAGTATCTGCGGCGTCGAGTGATATCATCACTGGAGTTAGTGGTTCTTCATCTTTCGCTAATAATTCCGAGAGGCTTTTTAATCGAACACAGTGCAAAGACCATCCTAACTTGCACTTTCAGCTGCTTCAAAAAGATCGAACGAAGCGTTTGGGATGTCAGAACGACTTCAAAGACATCAGGGATCATCCCTTCTTCATGCCTATCGACTGGGAAAAGCTTCGAAATCGCGAGATCAAAGCTCCGTTCACTCCGAAAGTGAAGAGTTTGACGGATACATCCAACATCTCCGAAGAATTTGTGAAGATCAAAATCAATCAAGGTATTTAATTTAATTGATGGAAGATTAGTTGTTACATTTCAGCTTCTCTGGTGCCGCAAAATATAGCACAAACTCAAAGAGATCACGACTTCCCTGACTTCACCTATGTCGATTACAACCGTGCCTTGCGTTAAAATTTAATTCTTCATTTTGAGGCCTTTACTTCCAATAAATGTATTTTTTTCATCTTGTAGACTGGAAGAGAATTTTCGCAATTTTTTAAACTTTGTCGATTCATTTTCTCAACTTAAGTTTGTCGATCTCTTGACGATATGAAAGGAAGCTTACCCAAAATTTGAAAACCCTCCTTCGAAAGTCTGATGAGTACAAATTTACAGAAAAAAAATTTCAAAGAAGCGTTAACTCAGTTTCCCGTTGCTAAATACCTCCTCAATCTCTTCAAAAATAGGTTTTGGCCTGCAGAAATCAATGGGAAAAAGCCTAATTAGAGGTACGCGGAGAAGGAGTAATAGGGCGGAGCGGCTCTCGACAAGGTGCAGTTATCATGCGTCAATCATGCCTCTAGAGCAAACAAGCCGAGCTGAGGTGCCTGACAACGTCGAAGCGCCCGAGAGCTCGTCGCTGTCCTCCGTGGCTCTGAGCATGAACTGGAACGAGAAGCACGCCGCCTCCTTGCACTATACGCTGCTCATCGTTGTTTTCGGTGTCTGGATGTGAGTGTTCCTCGCAATTTCTGAATATCACCTGCACAAACAATAGCAAATGCAAAAGCATTTGAGCGTGTTTGAGATTCATATTGGAAAGAAAAGCCTTTTCGGTCAATGCAGGTTATTTCCATTTAACGTGGAAACTAGCGAGAAGTTCTCACGCAATTAGCGGAATTCTTACGAAAACGCCACGTTGCTGCTATTTTCCTCGAAAAGGATTAATCACTGAAACCTTAGAGTTTATTTTCTTTTTGAACAAAGACATTTCTAATCTGTCTTTTGCAGGATCATAGGGATCTTTGTCGCCCGCGAAGTCTTTCTCGTGTTAACGGATAAAAAGAGGTGGCGCATTTCTGTGTATCTTTTTTTTTATAGCGAATTGGGAATTTCAGAAACGCTGCAGCGGAAGAAGAGCACGACACCTTTTACCTCGGGAAATTTGAGAGGGTCAACAGAAGGAAAACAAAGAAAGGCCTGACCCTACTGAGTTCGCCACGACTTCTCCTCTAATCAATTGTTCTATTCATATTGATGTACATACAGAATTATCGGAATGTGATCTCGTACAAGTAGTCTCCAATAAAGTTCATTAAAGCGAAAGAAAAAGAGGTCCATGAAAAAAATGAGAACATGTCCAGCAGTGGGTGAAAAAAGAAAATAACTATATAACTCCGATTTGAAAAGAAGGGTTGAAACATTGGCAAAATGGGTGGGTTTCTCAAAATTCTATCTACAAAATAATCTAGCTAAATATAAACTGAGATGCGTAGAAGCCCCGGAAAAGGTTATTATTAAATATTTCTCTGGATTTTACAGTTTATACAAGGATTGGGAAAAGAATAGAAGTCTTATTGTTCACGTCGATGAGCTGTACAAGAAGATGGTCGTCCCGATTGATTTGACTAAGTTGATATTTGGCTTGGTTTGGCTGATAACGCGATTTTCACAGTGGAGAAGGTTTGCTGAAAAATTCAGAATAAAAAAATCACTTTTTAGTGGTGATTTAGTGGTGATCCATATATCGTATACGAATGTTTGAAGAAGCTTAGACCTTTACATTCTGCCGGTCCGGATAAATTGTCTAATATCATAATACAAAAACTAGCGGCCCCTTTGGCACTACCTTTATCAATGATATTCCAAAAAACATTGGATACCTCATGCTTGCCTAGTTTATGGAAAAAGTCAATAGTTCGACCTATATATAAGAAAGGAAGCCTTAGTGAGCCTCAAAACTACAGACCTGTCAGTTTAACATGTGTCCCATGCAGAGTACTCGAATCCATTATCGTTAGAAGTTTAAGAAATCATCTTTGGAACAAAAACATAATATCCAAAGCCCAATACGGATTTTTTTGAACAACAGAAATACCGTTTCGCAATTGCTTCAAAAAGCAAAAAAATATTTGATTCAAAAACGTGTATGAAAAAAAGCCATAGTAGACGTAATTTATCTGGACATAAGTAAAGCCTTTGATTCCGTAACACATCGCAGAATGTTGAACTTACTGGAATCCTATGGTTGCAATGGTCGGCTACTCTCCTGGTTTCAGAGCTATCTCATTGGACGTACCCAAATGGTACGCATAAATGAAAGCTTTATCCGATGAAATTCCCGTACTTTCGGGTGTACCACAGGGTAGTTGTTTGGGTCCTTTATTTTTTCTTCTTTACATCAATGATATCGATAAAGTAGTCAAACACAGCGAACTATTAACATATGCCGACGATTGTAAATTAATGATAAGTTCAAAGATAGAAAATTTCGAACATAAGCTTCAGGAAGATTTAAACTCTATTTATGAATGGTTAGCAGATAGACAGCTTGTCCTATCGAGTTCAAAGAGTATACATGTCAGATATGGTAAATCCAATACTGAGAACCCTTCTTACACAATAAATGGCTCAAAAATTCCAACAGATATATTCATCAGAGATCTGGGAGTACATTTTAGTTCTAATTTAAAAAAATGAATGGTCACGTGAATGTAATTGTGAAAAAAATGCATGAAAATTGTGAATAATCTTTTTTTAGATGTTTTTACCTTCTCGCACACTAATTTCATGAACTGCTACAAGTTGAAGATTTTACCTGTTCTTGAATATGGGTCAGAACTTTTCTGTCCTTTAACAAGAACAGATATCGATAGATTGGAATCAGTTCAAAGGAAATTTACTAAAAAGACTTTTTCCCTAAAATGAATTACAAAGAAAGACTTCAACGTCTTGGACTAAACACCCTTTGGCAAAGACGTTTAAAGAAAGACATAACTGCTGCTCACAATTTCATTTACGGATACTATTGGTGCCCATCTCCAATCCCTTTACAAAATACAAGAAGTAGATCGAATCAACTGCGAGGAAATGGCCTCAAAATAGAACGGCCTCTACTTTCTGACATACACTACCGGTTCATTAATCAAAGAGTATTGAATCATTGGAATCATATGGATAGAAACATAGTATTTGAGTATGAAAAAAATAAGTTCAGATCTAAACTTGAGAAATGGTTTGAAAAACAACATTACAGAACTAAACACTCTTGATCCAACAAAAAAATATGAAAGCTACATAATCGACATTTAAAAAGAATAACTTCAAGGTTATTCCAATTTACTCAAGTGGGGGGTTAACACGACCGCGGGTCCTCTTCCCTCCATCACCACAAGTTCCGACACATATGTTCCCAAATTCTCCCTACATCTATTTCGTGAAATTTAGTACTTGTGTGTGAGAAATAAAACATTTTGATTGATTTTGATTGATTGATGATTTTGAATGTTTAAAGTTGAAAAAACTCGGAAAACAAATTGAAGGTGCTAAATTTTTAATAGTTTCAAAATGAAAGATTTTCTTGATGTTTCGATCCTCAGATTATATTTTCCTGCACTGAAGTTACGCTGAGAGAATCGAGTACTCTAATATTTTGAGATAGTTCGCTTAGGTTTTTAATGTCAAGCAGCTAACTTCGTCCCTGCTGGCACAGTAGCTTTTCGCGTCTATGTTTTATCGCGCGTAACAATGATCCTTTAATAGCGCTACTTTTTAACTTTTCTGTAACAGTAAAACCACAAAAGGTGGCTGTAATAAAGGTTCATCGTCGCACGCCATTATCAATCAATATTACTGTGGTAGCTGCTTGACATTCAAAATCTGAACACTATAATATAGTCTGTGGGCCACAACTTGAAATTTCCCGGAACGAAATTCCGTTGTTCCGCTGCGTTTGTTTGCGAAGCGTCTTTCGAATCTAGGTCATTTTTTTTTCAATTTTTTGTTATTGCTGTGGGAGCACATGAAAGTAGACTACCTTAATAAAAGAAAAAAAAATGAAAAGCACGACCAAGGTTCGCAAAGGCGCGCAGCGGCACAGCGGAATGTTGTTCCGTGAAATTTCAAGTCGTGGCACACAGACTATATTGGCAGAAGAATGGTTTCTCGGTGTTTCAAAACGGTCCTAATCTCTCACAACCACATTGCTTTTTAGAGCGGTCGTCCGTCAACTCGTTTCCACAATCTCGGTAGAATGGAAGATTAATATAAAAATACGAACTAAATGGTTCATTTAGTAGTTGTCGTGGTTTCAGCAGCTGGCGTTCGAGTTTGAGTTGGAGTTGTAGCCGTGGTGGAACTCGCCGCAGCAGCGGCGCTGGCAGCCGCGGCCTCGTCACGTTTTTCTTGGAGCCGAGCGTACACGTTGCCGAAGAAATTGGGATTCAATGCCGACAGTCCCGCAAAGTCTGAAACTCCAATATGATTCAGAGGATTTTTATGGAAACAGTATAAGAAAAAATTATGGAAAGAAAAAAGAAAAAACGCACTATTGGTCTTCTGCATTTCTTTAACGACGCTATGCGTTCTCTCGATTTCTTCTTCGATTTCCAAAGCATCGAGCATCCGTCTAACAGCGTCTTTCACTGAAAAAATTGTATAAAACTTGTTAATGATATTAATGCTTGAAGAAAAACATTTTTTTGAATTTATGTTATATTTTTCTCATCTACATAATAAATATTAACTATTTCTAGTTGTGTGTTCCCCTATACAGTTTCAAGAATTTATTATTATACTACTTTTTTTATGAGAAAAAAAAAGCGTTTCCTACTGGTAAATGAAAAAAACTTTTTTTACTCTTTACCGTTTCAGTTTTTTTCAATTTATTACCTGCCCAAAGCGAAACGCTGTTAAAATCAAAAAAATTTTACAGTAAAAGTTGACGGAATCAATAAAATTTGCTGAAAATAGTGAAATATAAGAAACCAACCGAGATACTCGTCGGTCTCCATGAGTGCCCTCTCAGCGCGCGTCAAAGTTCGGCGGGAGGACATTCTTAAATAATGAATTAATAATTTTTAAAAAAACAACAAAAAAACACGCTCAATAATGAATCAGCACAAGAAAAAAAACGAAAAAAATGAATAAAATAGAACAAGAGAAGCTCACTATTCGAAACCGTTGAATCTATAGCAACTATTTTCTCTTTCCGTTATAATTCAAGTTAATTTGAAAAACAGAACGAAACGATTGGAAAAAAACAGCATTTGAGACCTTGCTCAGAGTAAACATGAGCGGCCTCCAAATCGAAGCATAGCATTGCGCGTCAGGTTGTGAGTTTGCTCTGCATTACACCAAAGCCAATTATCGTATCCCCTGTCCTGGCAGAAAATTTTTTTTCTAGCAATCACAAATTTGGAGAATTTTTTTAAGAATCTGGGGATGTTTCCATCAATCAATTGAAAATATCCTGCCAGATTTTGATTTCGAAAAATCAATTCTTTCTACATATTGTCGATTGATAATGATTTTCTTATTAGAAAAGACTGTGAACTCAGTTACTGATTTTTTTGTTTTTATAAGGAATCAAATCAAAAACATCTATAAAAAAATGAGAATAGTTCTTGCAAAACTGAGAAAATTGGAAAAAAAGTCGTTTTACTTTGGTGTTGCGAATTTCCTGAAAATTGGTCAGAACACTCCTCAAAAATGCCAAAAAAAGGAATCACTGAGTCTAACCCTGTACAGCTTGCTAGTTTTTGTGAAAGGACACCTTAAAGCCAAATGAAACCTTCAAAATTTGTCAAAAAGGCCGTTTTTAAGGATTTGAGCTTGTATTTCTTGCAAACTAGGAAATTTTTGTATATTAAAAATTTTTTTAGGATTTGAATTTGGTACTGCATGAGATTTTCTGAAAAATTTCCAGAAAATCCTCAATCGCAAAGTAAAATGACCTCTCTTGAATAGACATTAATGAACTTTGTTTCAAATTCGAATTTTCATGTCACTTCTTCGTATATTTTTTCCGAAATTAGCTTTTAGAAGATTTCTGGATTGGTTGGGAAAAAATTTTTTTGCAATCTGGAAAAAAAAACTACAGTGCTTAAAAAACTTTTCGAGTTTCTTGAACAAAATTTTTTTTTTCAATTTTTTCATGAAGTCATATCTTGTGCTAGTGCATTTTCAGATTTTTTGCCCCTGAAAATTTCGAAAACCTTTTTGAACGAAACATAAAAGAGAACAGTTTTCTAGATATCACTTTAACTACCGCTCAAGTCTTTTGAAAAAAAATTTATTGGGTCATTTTCTTCAAACGAGTTTTTCTCTGTTACAAGATCCTTTGCCGATTTTTTTTTATCTAGACTCCTATTCATAGCTTTGCTCGATAGCTTGGGCAATTGTTAAAATAAAATTGACAGGATAAATCCAGAAAGGTTTTTTTCGGCCTAATAAATGTTAAATGACGTTTTGAAGCAAAGAAAAGATTGAGCGCTCTTTGTTTTTTTCTCCGTTTACCTTAAAAGGAAGGTTTGTGGTAGAAAACTCCTTGAAAATTGGCCAGAACGCTCTTTTATGTTATACCGGATAAAGGTCCTGAAACTCTCAACCTGCATTACTTCTTAGTTTTTTGAAAAGAAGGACATCTCAAAATCCACTAAAATTGGCAATTTTTGATTTTTGAGCCCTTCCGAAAATGAGTATGTTGTGCAGGTTGAGGCTTTCAGAATCTTTTTTTAATGCATCAAAAATGTTCTGACCAATTTTCAGATAACTCCCAACCGCCAAGTAAAAGGACTTTCCTTGTTTGCAGCGATTTCGGAACGTAGTAAGGCATACTTTTCGACGTCTTTCTCATTGTTGCTTTGTTCATCGAAAGCACATCAGCCGTTCTCTCAACAAATGATGACATTCATTGCAGGATTCCAATAAATATGGCAAGTGGTGTTGCCTTCAAGACGCCACGCCCTTGATTCCACGCTCGCCTCTGCTCGGTGAGAATATTCCAGTAGATGCGCAATGTTTGGAACGTCTGCTTGCTCCAAAACTTTACAAAATGCTTTGATTCCCTTGGCCGTCACAGTTCCACCAGCTGCTCTTTTTATCAGTTTCCGGACGAAATCCAGAAAGTTTCAACGCAAGTTTTTTCTTTGTTTGCTTTGAAAATTGATCTTAATATCCTTTTAGTACATCTTATTGTTGGCTTGCGGACTTTTAAGCCTGAAAAATTAACTTTCAGAAAAAACATATACATTTAAGTCAAAAAGTATATTTTTCTTATTCTGCCCAAAGTTTTTGATGAAAGCTCAGAATTACGTGCTGCCGAAACAACAAGGATGAAAAAAAGAGCTTTATCCTGATATTGATACCAAAACTATCTGTTTCAAATAATTATATTGAAAGAAAACTTTCAGCAGAAGAAGATTGGGAAGCAAGTTCTGTGGAAAGCTGCCCACGACCAGCAAGTTTGGAGCAAGTCTTGGAAAAACACCCGCTTCAGTAAACCTGAACTGAAAGCTCTGTATAAATCTTTCAAAGAGGTTTTTTTCTTTTTACTCCAGACTTTTTTTCAATTATTGGAAAAAGTTTCAGATCTGCCCAAATGGTTTCATTATCCTGGAACAATTCAAAAACATATACGTGGAAATATTTCCCAACGGGAATCCCACGCGATATGCTGAACTTGTGTTCAGAAACATAGACCAAGACGGCAACGGACGTATCAATTTTCTAGTATGTAACTTTTTCGACAGAGTTGCCTTTTTAGCTCAGAGATCCATGTCATAAAAGTGGTAAGAAAAGTGATTTCAGGAGTTCGCTACAAGTTTTTCTCAAGTCTCGCGGGGAACAATTCAAGAGAGATTGCTGTGGATTTTCAATCTGTACGATATAAACCGTCGTGGAAGCATCGGTTACAAAGAAATCACAGTTATAGCTACGTTTTGATTGGGTTTGAAAATTTGCAACCAAAGTCTTGTTCAGATCGCTCTATGAACTTTTGGACGCATCTCTAGACGACAACGCTGTTTCAGAGCTTGCCCGCCATCACACACAATTTGTTTTGCAAGTGAGTCCACCACTGTGTTCATTTCACGCGACATGCATTCAGAAGTTTCAAGCTCCACCCCAGGAAAGAATCACTCGAGATGAATTCCTTCGAATCTGTGTGTCAGATGAAGAACTGGTCACCTCCCTGCTCGTTTTTCAAAATTAACCGGCTTTTGGGTTTATTTTGAAGTTTTTGATTTTGCGAATTCGCGAGTTGAAAAATTAAGTTATGCTAATAGTTTCAATTGAAAAAAATAAAACTACGCTAGCCCAGTGGTTTTTTTAAATTAATGATATTTTTCCCTGTTTTTGCTCCATGAGAAATTTTTTTCTTTAATATTTTTTTCTGAAGTTTCTTTCAACATGCCTTTCTCCCAGAAACGGTAAACCGTTGATCCCAAAATTTCAGATTGAGTTTTTTTGAGCTTATATTGTGATCGCAAAAACTACACAATTTTCTGAAAATTTTACTCATGATTTTTTTTCCGTTCCTCTTAAGAGTTACGATAGCCAAAAAAATACCAAAAAAATCTTGAAATAAAATCTTTTTTTGAGCCGAAGCCACTATCAATTCAAACCTTTTCTATTGTACTTACTTTTTCTTGAATGTTTTTTTATGCCTAAGAAAAAAACTTGATTCTTACTGTTAATTTTACTTTTTTTGGATTATCTGTTAAATAAATTACAATTCCTGGTTGGCGATACCTCAGCTTAATACCCTGTAAAGTTAAGTAGATCAACTTTGAAGTATCATACTTTGTTTAGATTCGGTTTTTTTGCTGTGTGTTCCAACGTATTCAAGAATAATTTTCACGATTGTATATTGAAAGATTTTGTTCGCTCAATGAATTTCAATTTCATGAATTACGGGACTTATCAACCCTCAAAAATCAGCGATGGATGCCTTAAAGAAAACATTTGTAACTTCAGTGTTTTCCTAGCGATCTCCGCTTTTCACTTTCATGTAAACAATATTTGGGCCCCATATACTCTCCACTTTGCTATCAAACTGATAGTGCAATGATCAGAGCGATGATTTCTGATCACTGAATATTTATTGGGAGTTCATGGCTGTTTTCTTGCTCACGGATACTACTGTGGTAAATAACCTCCAAGAAATGCCGATCTTCTCATTTTTACCGAGAATCGAGTTTAATCTTTTTAGCAGTAATTTTTTCTATTCTACTCTACCTGCCGTCTCAAAGATAACATGAAACAGAAGTTGAAACAATTATTTATTTCTGACAAGAAAAAATTGAGCATTTTATGTAGAGAGATTAATACTATGAGTGAAAAAGGCGCTTTTGAGCAAAACAAATCAGAAAACTCCGGGGCCAGATCTATTGCACGTAAAAAGACCTTGATAATCGAATCACTGAGCAAAAACACTCTTCAAAAAATAACCAAATTCTGAGGAGGATACAACGTAAAATTGCACCGGTGGAAGAGTCGCATGATCACTAGATTCTGATCTGATTAGTTCTAACAGTTGCTAAAGCCAAATCAAAAAATCAGCAAAAAAGGCAACAATGCAGAAATGACCATTCAACAATATATTAATAAAGGCACTTAACAAGCATAGTTATCGAATCATTAGTGTGAAGGCTTCATCACATATTAAATCTAAACAAAGTTAGGTAATTCAAAAAACAAAAAATAATCTATCCCGATCTCTTTTACCCTATTCGCTGAGAAATACCGTATGGCAAGTAAATGTGTGGGCTTGTTCGTCATTTGTTTAATCGCAAAAAAGTATACTCGTTGAAGAAAAAGGGCTTTAGGATGGGTTCATTTGAACTAAGTAAGAGTGGACCGGCCAGTTCAAAGGGAAGGCATTTGTCATGGGAAAGAGGGTACAAGGCAACAATTGGCTAATTAACGCGGATGAGAGGATTTCGCGGAAAAGTTGAGAAAGGGGCAATATGAGTAAAGCATTTAGAAGGGGGTGTCTTTATATCTAAAAAGACTATTTTTATAGTGACCAAATTTAGAGACAAAAAGGTCTATGACAGGTCATTCTAAGCCTACTGTTTTTTTATTTACATAGATATTAAATTAATTATTATTTTCATTAAAAAAAGAGATTATAGTGACTAGATTCTACACCGAAATCCCTGTCATAAACCCTGAAATAAGAGTGGAAAAAGTAGAAACTACAGAAACAAGCACCAAAAAGTGTCATCTCCTATACCCGGGCACATGCACCAGTACAGTACCACATAGCACTTCTAGACTTCATCTTTTGTATTTATAAGGCTACTCTAAGGAGGGATCTACCAATAAGGACCATCCGTGCTCAAACTTTTCCAGGCGGCGAACTTGCTCCAGTCAGTGTAATCCAGTTTGTACGCATCGTCGCGATCCAAGTACTTTGTGCTGAAAACATTTTTTTTCTTCGGAGTAAAAAAAAGTTAAGAAAGCCTTCGGAGTAAACTTGAAAATAATCATAAAAGGATTTTGAAGTTACCAGGCTCTAAGTAATACTTTTATTAGCAATCACTGTTTCAGGAAATTCTTGTAGACTAGTTTCATTTGATTCAATTTACTGCGAATCCTAATTTGCCATAAAAAGCGCATAGAGTAAGGTTTTTCTTGTGGTACGGAGAATGACCAAAACTCTCTAGTTTATGTTCAAATTGGTATTCAACCGATTTGATAACGTTTTGAAAGCTTCTTTTGGCTAGGAAGCTAAGCAATTTCACTCCAAACTTTGGAGTTTGCTAAAAAAAAAACTATATTTGTTCATGGGAAATTTTGAAGCAATTTATCAAAAGTTAATTCTAACCCGCCGAAAAGCGGGGTTCTTCTTGGCTGAACATGTTGGACTTCGCATTCAAGCTGGTAGTTCATCCCGCCGTTAGAATCCCAATGCTCAACGCCGCCGGCAATGAAGCACACGCAAAACTCAATTTTATTCACCTGAAATTGAATTTTTCTCGTTTTCTCTTTGTAAGAGTCCAACTAACGCGTTCGACGCAGTGAGGGAGTTCGAGCTCGAACTTGAAAGTGTCGTGGATTTTGCTTGTAGAAGGTTGGTACACAGCTTGCTTGTCGGTGTGGGACAGCCAGCCGTTCATTGTGTAACGAATAAATACCGACTTCTCGAATGAGATGTTGGACACCTGAAAAAAAGAATCTTACAAGAAACTTTTTCCCGAAAGAAAAAAACCCTCATTTTCGAAGTAATAATCAGAAACGAACCTTAATAACTCCATGTACTTTGTATTCCTCGGCCTTCACGATCACATTTTCCAAAGAGACTTTGTCCTGAAAGGGCATTCCATCAAATACTATCGACTCCAGATCAAAAAAGATCAAAGAACGTTTTGAAAAAATCGTCCGCACCTTCTCGAGTTTCTCTCGGAATCTGACGTATTCAGCAGCTGGCTGTTTAAAGTTCAAGTTCCAGACGGGAGCCGGCTCATGCTGCGAATCTTCTTCGAAGGATTCTCCTGAAAACAGAATTGTTTCTTTTTGGATGTATTTTTTTACAGAAATAAAGGAAGGAAGAACCGTTTATTTTTTATTTTTCGAACGGATCGATTTGTTTGATTTCTCACCGCGGTAACGTCGAAGGACGCTGGGACTGAGCTTTGGAGGACAGTCACTGGGTTCAGTGGCGATTCGGATGCAGTACAAATCTTTGCCACAATCGTCAGCGAACCGCACACTTTTGCGTGGACATTCTGACTCCTCTTCCTTAAAATCATCATGAACCTTACGATGTGAAATTTTGAAAAGTTGTACCTTTTCGGTATCTTCGTCGTCCATTTGACCGGCGCAGAAATCGCTCGTGTCATTCGCATCACACTCGCTACTGGAGGAGCTGTGTTTTGATCCGTAATCACTTCCTTCGTCTGTAATTTGAGTTATTTGATCCGTTCACAAGAACCTTTCTCATAGATTTTTGATTAATCGAAAAAAGAACAGTTGTCGCTTTATCTCATAAGCTTAATAATCATAAAACTTGAAAAACACTGATCTTCACAATTTTGCATAGTTTTAAAAATGCAGAGCTCCAGAGAAGATTTTTTCTGTTTTCATTTGTCAAAACAAAATTTCAACCCCATTCAAAACCCCTATTGGACACTTTTTTATCGCAATCAAAAATCTAATGAGCGATCGACAGCAAATACGTGATTGGAGATTTGATAAGAAACGGCAAAGTGACACAAGAAAAGGTAGCCGGTGAGGAAAAAAGTGTCTTCTAATTTATTGCGACATTTATCAAACCAATGTTCGGAACAGAACACCAATTCAAATAGTTTTTATACGGAAATGTTGCGAACGCCTTGCGACGATGGCAATGAACGCGCACGTTTTAACTATAAAAAAAGGGAAAGTTACCGTTCTCGTCGATCGGATTCCCGAGTCTTTGCCGCAGGGTTTCAAATTTAACTGAGTTAATTCTCATGCGGTTCAGGCCTTCTGATTCACTTTGTGATCGCACCTGAAAAAAACTAGAAATTAAGCAAAAAAATAGGTAATTATGATCTTGAAAACGTTCGCTGACTTTTTTTGAAAAATTTCGTTTATTCTTGTATATTTAAAAAAAATAAAGTATTCCTTGAATATTTTTCTGTAGCAAGTGGTTGAAATTCTAAACTCTTGAAGCATTGAACTACCAAAAAAGGTCTTGAATTGTTGAAATTTAGAAGAGAAGTCTCTGAGCCAAAGAAAAAAATAGAAAGATATAAAATAACTTTCGCTCTAAAAAGATTTTTTTAAATGTAAAATTTATCGAAGTGACATATTTTTTTTTTTTTTTTCAAGAAAAAAACCAACTTTCAAGCTAGGCGACTGTAGAGCACTGTCTCCAAAAAACGGGAAACTGGCAGCTCGACGACAACCCGTAGTTGAGACGGAGAAGAAGGAAGCTGGTGCCGAATGAGCACACGTTTCCCATTCCCGTTCTTGGCCCATTTCCATTAACTCTGCAACTCAAATTTGTGAACAAGGCGTAAAAGTACTTTTGCCACGCGGACGGAGAAAAAATCGACATAAATAAGACCAAACAAAATACGCCAGAGGGGAAAAAGGCTAAAAAATAGAAAAAGCAAGAGAGAGAGGAGCACGAAAGTAGTTGAGGAAAAAAACGCGCGAATCAATCAGCTGCATTTGCCTCGAGGAGCTCTGAGCTCGCAGTTATTCTAATCGTCACGTAGGCCGGCCGACAGACGTCAAGCTCCTCGATGCTCCGAATGTGGCAGACACGATGGCCTAGCGTTGTTTTCGTTCCGCTCGGACGAGAAAAAAATGCGCTTGGGTTATCTTCGGCGCGAGGAGGTCAAACATTTGAATGATGATCAAACGGATCTTGTATATCTTCACGTTGGTCCATTGTTTCTCCTTACTTTTCCTTATGAGAAAAACTTTCTTAGAGTTCTGGTGTTTTTGAAAGAGCGACCATGTTTAAGAAGACTGGGAAGGAGTCATAATGAAAATAGTTGACAGGTTCCAGCTATTTCCTGTTATTCATAATCTTTATTTTTCAATAAAAACCATTTGAAAATTTTATATTCTTATTTTCGCGATAAGAGAAAAATTTTCAAATCGAAAGACGGGACAAACTAAAACAAAGGTATTTTTTCGGTTCACAAATTCTCATTCAGGAAAAAAATGACGTAATTTTATTCATTTGTTGACGCAGGGTGCACGTGCGTTTTGCAAGAAAAAAATTCTGCGAAACACAAGCAGATTGAGCGGCGGCCAGCTTCCGACTGGGAATTTCGATGCTCACTGCATCTCATGCTCTACACATAATCCTCTTCAAAATTCCTCCTTTTTGAAGGCATTTTTTTCAATCTCTTAAAGAACTCAAAAATTTGTTGGAAAAAAAAAACGATTTTGCTTGCTGAGGCTTCTAGAGCAGAATTTTCTACAGGTTATCATTTTGAGCTCATCAAAGTTTTGAACTTTTCTCTTTAAGATTGATGAGAGATATTTTTTCAGCCTGCGGACTTTGGAGTCAAGGTTTTGTCTCCGAATCAATAAAGTACCGTCATAAAAAATTTGAAAAATCTTTTCATCGGAACCAAATTAGTTCGCAATTTAATGGTTTTTTTTTAACAAAATTGGCATTTACCTTTGCAAAAAAGATTAAAGTTGAAAATTTATTACAACAAATTTTTCTCTACAGGCCAAGCAACAACCTTAAGTTTGTATAAACTGCCCCAAAATGTGATTGACATTTCGATACGAACTGATATTCAAAAGACCAAAAATTATCGCCTGAAAAATCAACAGACGAGTAAAGGTTTAAGGGTCATTATCATGCAGCCATAATCGGATAATGAAATGACCCTTGATAAAAAATTGTCTGTTCTGACTGCCTTCTTTGCGGCAGACGGATTATCTTAAGCTCATTAAGTAGCTTAAAAAATGAGCGAAAAAATCTGATAAGAGAGACTGTATCACAAGAGAAAGATAAAATTTTTCGCAAAAGTTACAGTTTTTGGTAAAGCTGATGAAACTATCTGATTATGGTTCGCATACCGTTTCGAGCTAAATTGACACATGGTCTTTTTTTATTGGAAGCGTGGGTGAAATCAGGAAAATGTGATAATGGTTTATCAGAATTTTTCATCAGATTGATGATAAGAGGATTCAAATGAAAACGGTCTAAAAAGTTTCAATGAGGCTGGAATAATTTTCTGGGAAAGTTTGGACAACAAAAAGCAGAAAGATTTTTTTTCAATGCAAAATTATGAATGTAAAAAATGAATTCAGAGTAAGAGGAAAAAATATAGAACAACTTAACAGCTCGCTAGGTTTTCAAAACGGAAAGAACATAGAAAAGTTTCGGCTGAATCAACTTATCTGGTTTCAAATGAGACCACGCCTGATTTTGGCACTTTTAACACTCTAACAGACTATTGTTAGCGTACAGAAGGTTGTAAAAATCCTTGTTGTTCGTTTCGAAACGCATAATCATAGTATCAAAGTGAAAATCTGTTTTCCGCTTCATGCTAGGCCACTTCTTTGAGCAAGGATTTTCAAACAGGCCACTTGATGAATACTTCAACTCTTCAAAAAAAAAAATTAATGAATTCTCTCACAGCCCGGAAGGCGGCAAGTTTTTGGCGCCCAACGGCAGCTCAGCGTGCAAAGCGATAAAATTGCATGCAAACGATGGAAGGACGTACGGTGGCGCAGCCTGCAAATAAGAAAAGACGCGAGATCCCACCCCTCGATTCCTCCACTATCAGTGAACAAGACGCACAAAAACAAAGTTTTGGCCGAGGAAAAAACAACAGAGGTTGACACTCGCACAAAGTCAAGGCCAGTCGGCACCGTTTGAAACCTCTTTTTTTGGGTGTAATGAAAAAGCATGAATTTAAACTGGAGATGCTCCCGAAACCGCACGTGAAGCGGGGGCTGCAGCTGCACGTGCGTTGCACGCTCGCAACATTTACGAGGAGAGGTGTGAGCGGAGAACGATTCCCGATTGGTGGGATGATGCCTCAGGCCTTCTGATTTCCAAATCTCAAGATGATGTAACCTATTTGTCGGTTTTGGATTGATTAGATGTGTTTACGAGCATTCAAAAAATTATCTCAAAACTCACGGTTTGCTGTAAATTCTATGATGTTGAGCAAATATATGCTTTTTTTGTCTATTAGAATTGCTACACAGTTTTTTTACCAATTTTTTTAAAAGTATCGCAAAAAAATAAATTAAATGAAAAAAAGTTATGTTTAGGGGTACATTCTGCGCTTTTAAGACTTCAATAGTCATTCATGAAATAATCATGATTTTCTAACTCCAAAACTATTACCTAGTTTGAAAAAAGCCTTCGTTCAACGTGTCTTCTGTGTATGCTAGGTCCTAGCTTTCAAGCAAAAGAAACTTGTCCGACCTCTTATTTTGGTGAATAAAATCATTTTCCAACATGAAGAAGCGTTGATGGCATAGAACAATGGATGGAACGGCAAAAGTTTCGTGAAAAACGCAAGAACAAAAACGGAAAATTAATCAATCGTTGGCACCAAGTCGTGTGCTCAATGCTCGATGGGTGCTCGGCGAGCCACGGAATGAAAAAGCTCAGAGTGCAGCTGGAGGCGAGTCGAGTCATATGTGATAGCTCAACCGAGTGCATTGAACGATCCCATCAAGAGGAGGAAAAAGTGTTCGAGGAGGAACTGGAGTTCTTCCGCACTTTTAAAATCCTTGAAAAAGATCAAGAAACCAGGAACCGACAGTTAACTAACAAAGTATTAATTAACAAAAGGCGTCACAAAAAACCGGTTCGGCAAAAGTTATTGCTCGTGAGAAGTTGCCGAAAATATTATGACCTTGTTTTGGCAAGTGTGATGATAGGAGGGTCGGCGGCACGCTGCCATTGGTCACTTCTTATCGCTGTAATCCCCGATGGGCTGACCTTTTACGTACTTTTAAGGGTCAACAGAAGATTCAGCCAATCAATGATCTAATGAATTTAATAAAAAATATCATAAACTTGTCAGAACGGAGAGAGAAAATCGCCTTTCCTACTGACCTAATTACATCCGATCGTGTTTCTTTCGCTATTAGACAGCTTCGATCATCAGAAAAAAAAGGTTCAAAGTGAAACTATCTAATAGTTTGAACGGGAACTTGTTTAAAAAGTCGGAAACCAGTTAACAAGCAGCACTTGTCGGAAACTCTGAGAGAGGAAGATTTAAAATGATTAGTGTTTCCTGAGCCTTCGGAAGCTCGACCAACACATTATCAGACACCTACCAACACAAACATTTTGTATTTACCGTTTAAACAGAGCAGTAAACGCGACGATCGTAAGAGCTGCTGGCGCCAGTTGCTAACTTTCCTCCGGCCGGTATTTATAAACCCCTCACAAATGAGCAACAATTTCAGTTGCGAATTTTTTCGATTTTCGGCAAAGGGCATCGAGTTTTTTGACGGACGGAGTTCTTATTGGCTGCTATGAATGGTCTGAGGACATATCTATTATATGTGGAAAAAGCGAAACGATTTTTTTTTTGAAGGCCTCAGAAGAAATTTTGTTTGAAGTTTAAAGATTGAGGACGACTCTTTCTCAAATTGAAAGTTACACTTTTGAGTTTTAGAAAAGAAATCAGTCTTGAATGAAATTTTTCGCCAAAACATTTAAAAGAAAGACTGTTTCCCGATTTTGACAAGAGAATTCATTTCATTTTTTTTTCTTGAAATTTGGCCAGAACACTTCTAGGTATACCTAATGAAGATCCTGAAAGCCGTGATCTGCACAACTTCCCCCTTTTTGAGAAATGTGGGCTCAGAGACTTGAAATAGCTTATTTTAACGGTTCTCCTCGACTTTAAGGCGTCCTTACTCAAAAACTAGGAAGTTGTGCAGGTTGAAACTTTCAGGATCTTTATCTGGTACATTAAGAAGTGTTCTGATCAATTTTCAAGAAAACCCCAGCCGCAAAGTAAGATGACTTTACTTGTGAGGCTCATAATAAAAATTAATAAAAGTCAAGGAGCTGCAAAAAGCTCGCTAAACTGCATAATTCACAGCTTTCTCATTCCTTCTATACATCGAAAAAACATGTGGACTAACAGTATACTTCAAAAAAAGCTCATTTCCCTCTCTAAAAACTAGTTTAACCTCATGAAAGAGAACTTTTGGAATCATCGGGAAAAATGGGAAAAGCGGTAAAGTTAAAACTCTGTGGTGCGGCTGGATGATCGATCCTAGTTGACTGTCGGCTGGGCAGCTGTCCCAAGCAGCACAAAACGGCTGCTGCGCCGGCAACCCAACAACCCTCGAGCAAGAGCAAAAAGACAAAACAGCAAGGCAGCGAAAAAGACAGTGAGTACTTTGGAATTTTCCGAAGGTTCACTAAAAAGTTTGAGGTCTCTCCATTAATCTAAAGGCTTTTTTTTGAAGTTAAGTTCAAAAAGCCAAATTCATTCTAAAATTCTGATTTCAAGTTCGCGTTCCAAGAAAAAAAGATCAAACATTTCTTTTTTTAAAGTTCATGATTTTTTTCAGATTTTTCATATCTTGGCAAATTTTATTTTTTTGTTTTTTTCTTGACGAATGACATCTTAAAAGGCCATTTTTTTAAATCTCACTACGAACAGCTGAAAGTTAAAAAAAGGTCATTTTCGGTTTTCATTAACAAAAACTCAGATTTCCACTGATATTTGGATTGCATTCATTTTTCAACTACAAGCGGTTTTTACAAAAAGGAAATTTTTTTAAAAAAACTCGAAAAAAATTCAAATTCAATAAAATTGAATGTTTTTTTCTGAATGTAAGGTAACTAAAAAAAGCTTCCAAGCTTCTAAATTCCAAAGTTTGAACAAAATGAAAGAAAGAACCGAAATCATTTTGGATCTATACAAAGATGAACAGCGCTGCAGCTTGATGTGGAGAATAATGGATCGATGTCGAATATCGCTGTTGAACGATTTGACAAACATTTTGTGGAAAAAAACAAGCGGCTTGGGCGGGGACCCACAGGAGAAAGATCGAAAACCTCGTCATCCAACTTTGTTTTCATTTGAGCTACCGTAGGAGCAAAATCGATTGACTTTGGTTTTTCGAGTTTTCATCAGAAGCTATTCCAGAAAAAAATACATAATAAAATAAAGAGGCTACTTTGGAAAAGAAAATAATTTTTCCAACTTGAGAGTTGAATTCAATCGAAAGGTTTTTTTCGTTTTACTCGCAGCCAAATTTTTGAACTGCTTGAAAATATATCTTTTTTTAGATATTGAAAAAAAGTTATCTTAAATTATGGTTTTTTATGACTTGATCAGGCTCATAAACGTCTGTCATCATAAAGTAATAGCTTGACAGAATAAAAATAACTCACTGATCCATTTACGAAGAGAGCAATGAAAAGTCGAACATCTTACAGGAAAATAATTTTATCTTGTTTGCATTGAACCTATCGAGTAGTAAAATTGCCGTAAAGGAAGTGTAAAAAAAGTGGCGCGAGGACTCGAACGGGATTCAGTGAGCGAGAGTGAACACTGATATTTTACAGAACTCCAGCTCTTTTGACGAATAGAAAAAGTTGGGGGAAGACAGGAGATCTCATCACTCGTCCATCATCTGGGGAGGACATACTGTTAAAAAGTTTTGCTGTGAAGTTTCAAGGCTAGATTTTGACTTGATTCAAAAAATGAAAAACTTTGTCTGGAGAAAGTTGAAGTTGAGCTGGGACTAGTGAGAAGAGGAAAGTTGAAGTTTTTGATTTTTGTAACGATGAGTCTTTCAAAATTATCTTTTTTATTGGTCAAACAAAAGCAGGAAACTTCTTATTTCAGAAAAGGGCCATCATAAGTTTCATGTTCAAATAAATAACTTATTTATCGTTGACTAAAACTGAAGAAGCTTAACAATGACTATGAACTAAATTTGAACTTCATAAGAATTATTTGCATTCCATTGGAGGTGAATGCAGTCTCTAGATTTCAAGGATTCTTCAAAAAACGGACGCGATTTTTAGTCACGAAGGTAACAAGTAAGTAAAAATTTTAAAAGAGATACGCAGCAGCTGACAGCCAAAAGTCTGAGGAAGCTTGCAAACTTGGAGCAATAACAATGCTGAAAGTAGAAAAACAAAGGAAGCTGAAAAATTGGGCTGGCATTGATTTTTTCTAATTATGCGAGAGTTTGAAACTTTACGGTAAGTTGTCGGGCTCTCAGCCGTAACCAAAATTAGAAGACTCCAAACTTCGGTTCTTTCTGCTAAACGAGCCTCTTCTTGAAAAAAAGAAAAATGATAGAAAATAAATGTGTTTCTGCTTTCTTATAGTTTTACAAAAAAAGTAGAAAAACAGCTGCTTTTTGTCACTTTTTTTAGCATTCCTGAGCTCCCAAGTCAAGAAGAATTCGTTTTAATAGAAAAAAATTTGAGCTTGAATATCCCAATCTTTTGACAATATTACATTGTTCTGAATGTACAGAAGTCAGTTTCTCCTCATTCATAGTCAATTCAGCCCTGCAGATGACCTGAAACCCCCTGGAAATCGCCGTTGCCATGGGAGCGCGGATGCAACCTTGCGGCCAAGAAGCTGTTCTTCATCCCCAATAGAAATGTTCTATATCCTCGGAATGGGTCCAGGCCTGTTCGTTTTGATCCTGATTTATTCGTTTGCTGTCTTCGGATGCGTCGTCTATGGACGCTCGAACGGAATGTGAGTGTTCAGCCGTTTTATCTACCCTTTATCGCTTTTTTTTCAAGAAAGAACCCTAAAAAGACCATTTCATTGCACATAAAATGGATAAGTTTAGGCCAGCCGTTCTCGGTATTGGAGTGATAACAGGACTGCTGACGCTAGCTTTGCTCCTTTGGCCGTTGAAACCAGCGAAAGAAGGGGTCGCCGTTGAACAGTCCATAAAAATAGATTACTTATTGTTTCCAAGACTTCTACTTGCAATACTTCTATTCTTGGTTGTTATGCGATTATTCTGCTTGTATGCCAAGTACGACCTCCTACAAGTTCATAGAGCAGAGAACACGAAAAATTGCCATGAGACGGAGGAGTTTCATAATGATTATTTACAATAAAGGTTTACAAAAAGTTGCTTGGAAGATATTGGAAAACAAGCAAGAAAATTGACTTCTATGGAAGGCTGATACGGATCAAGATTGTTCGAATCAGTTTGTCCACCACTGCCAAAGGAACAATAAATCTTCCCTGCGCGGAACATTTATCACTCTTCTCAATTTTCTGCGCCTATTTTGCTTGAGGCCGTACGTCAGTTGAAACTAGTTTTCCATCGGACAAAACATATCATTCATTGTTTGAAATATTCTTGCAAAAAACTTCAAAGAGGAACTATCAGATTTTTTTAGTTTCAAAGGGCGTATTCAAAGTGAAAACAAAAAATTGAAGCAATGGCGGTTCCAAAGTCCTTTCCGAAAAAATGATGAGAGTTTCAATTTTGTTTACGTTCGAAGTTATTGAGTAAAAGTGAAAACAGGAGATAATTTGTGATACCCTTTTTGAATTGACGTTTTTGTCAATATTTACAATATTACAGTAATCTTGCCTCCAATTATTATTTTTTTGAAATTTTTTTCTTATATTTTTAGGAAAAATTTTCTTCATCAGGGTTCCCTCGAAATTCGAGAAGAATATCAGAAGGGGAATGCGTAACCTGAACGCAAAAATTTCTTTCCAGATTTTTCGTTCGAAAAAAGAGTGAAAAGCAATTCATCTTTTTCCACTTCTCCCAATTTCATACCACAAAAGATGGATGGAACTTTCAAAGGAAAATTACGAAATTGGAGCAGCTATGTAATTTCGTCGTGGTGAAAGGAACGTAAATCTTCGCGCTCTTCCCAATTCGTCGAACCTACCATCTGCAGTATTCTTTGGTCTTTTTTGAGAGTGAATAAAAAAATAAAGTTGAATAAAAGTAGACAAGTCAATGAAACCGTGTCGCAAGAAGCTTGAAACGAATTTTTAAAATTTCATAAGTTGCTGAATTTTAAGGTAATGAATCTAATGAAAGCATTTTTTGACCGAGCGTCAGCTAATTATCAGGTTTTGAATGGAACATTTTTTCTTGATTTGCTTTAAAGTCTCAAAAAGTTCGAAATCGATAAAAATTGTTACATTTTTATTATTCAATGGAATATAAAAATAATGAATTGAAATACAGAAAAGTTTTCAAAATTTACTCATCGAGGAATTGAAGAAATTCCCATATAAAGTTTTAAAATAGAAGTTATACTAAAAGACAAAAATATTACGAAAAATCGCAAAATAATGTAAAAGAAAGAGTTGGGGACTTTTTTATGCCCTCTTGTCAAAAATCATAATTGAGCTAAAAACTTGTTTTTTCAAAGCCTGCTCTCAAAATTTATGAATTTTTTTCTTTCGTAGTTTCCAAAAAAAAAAGTTGAAAGTTTGTCGGCCCAGGAGTACGCAAAAGTGCTTGTTTTAGACGGCTTAACATTATCCCCCATACTGTACTCGACCTTTCGTTTCAATCAACTTCATTTTTTTAAAATCTGGGCGGAGCAAAATAATTCAAGAAAGCTCTTTGGCAGATTGAGAGGCGTAACCCAGATGCTCTTTCTCCATTTGGCGCCAAGAAGCTTCCATTTCCAACAGTTCCTCCTTTGCTTAAAAAGTTGCTTTCAGATGAACCGGCTCTTTGTTGTGTTTTTGTCGGTTGGTATCGTATGCGCCGCAGTGCCTGAGTTCCGTCAGAGATACTTCCGATATCACAACTCATACCCAGAGGTCGAACTTCTTTCTTTAACTGATTCGACCTTTTTTTGATGAAACTTTGATTGGTATGGAGTATAGAAGTGAACGGAAAACTACAAGTTCTTGTAGGGGTTAAATTTCTAAGTTACTACTTTACCCTAGAAAAAAGACTTGCTTTACCTAGGGGGAAAAATAAAAAAGTTGGATTCCAGTGCATGTTTAAAAAAGTTTGAAACTCTTTTTAAATAGACAATATGAGCAAAAAGTGATTTTTTTCGAACTACGAGAATGCCCTATTAATCTTTTTTCTCGACAGAAAATTTTATTGCTTCTATCAGAATTGGAAGCTCTGAGAACAGGAAACAGAAAAAGTGATATTATTTCTACGAATTAGAAAAATGTTACAGGTTTTTCATGAAATTTTTCATTTTCTTCTTCTGTTGCCTTCTGAAAAGTTTCACAGCTTTCGAAATGAAAACTCAAAAATAGATGAAATAAATCATAAATAAATCAAATAATTCTTTTTCTTCACAAAAATAGTCTTATTTTTTTCAGCTTCTTCGTCTTCCTGAGGAACTGGAGTATGGCTTTGACAAACGTAGTTCAGATCCAGAATTTGGTATTTTTATTTTTACTTTCACTTTTACTCATTTCATTTGTGTTGATATTTTTACAGCGGATAAGACTTTTTTTGATTTTTTTCCTTTTTACTATTTTTGGAATACAAACGAAAAAAAATCTTTTACGTTGACAAATTTTTCAGTTCCTCGTGTTTTTGGTTCAAAGTTATTATTGACCAAAAAGGCATAATACAATGAAAAAAATTTAATATTTTTTTCTTCAAATAATAGTTTTCGTGTTTTTCTCCCAAACTAACTCATATTTCACGACACTTCCTCTGAAAAAATTTTGGCCCGATTTGAACTAATTTAAGGGGAAATATCGTTGCCAATCTACGAATTGACGGTGACAAAAAGGGCATTCAACCCGGACACGATGCACAGCATGGACAAGTTCTCGTTTGGCCTTGGAAAACGATCTGTCCATGGATTCTACCCATGAATCTATTTTTAATTTTGAATTATTGGAAATGAGTGATTTTGGTATGAGGTCAAAGATTATATCATAAAAATGGAAGTTTGCATTTTTACCTTTCTGTCGAAATAAAAAGAAATTATGTTATTCACCTGTGATAATTGTTTAAAATTGATTCCCAAAGTTGACCAGGGCTTTAGAAGAAAAGAAAATTGTGGATGAAGCTCAAAACCAGCACGAAATGCAACTAGATGATTTTGATTGAGATTCTTCGTAAAAACTTGTGAAATGATTTTTTTTTTTTCGTATTCTTATGTTCATCCAAAATTTTTTTTTGCGTCAGCAGTATAGACTCATGAAATCTTTAGGAATTTTTCAGAGCGGTTCTTATCAAAAGAAAATTATAGTGTTGAAACCGTAATATGCTTTTTGCACCGAATGTCATTCTTATGTCTCAAAAAGGCTTCATGCCCAAAATGAAAAATCAAAAATCATTTTGAACAGTGAAAAAAGACATTGTCTACTAAAAATGCTTAATGAGCGAAGTTCCAAAAATGATTTTTTGATCAATGTTTTTCGCCCAATGGTCCGTTGTTTAGAGTTCCATGCGTGCATGGTTTGTCGTATCGCTTTTTGTTGCAGATGTCTGTTATCAGAATTTGATTCTCGGTATTGTTCATTTGATCAGGTCAAGCATCACTTCGTATCATTCACAAGCCCTTTATTTGAAACCTTCGTGATCAAAAATCGGCGAAACCGTCGAGAAACGGAACGAAAGCAACAAAAAAAAAACATGTTGTGCTGAACAAAGTTCGACACGGCTGTGCCTTTGGTGCAGTGTTAAGCGAGGCTTCATGAGCTGCCGTCGGCGGGATTTATCGTCTGGCATCTTACACTCCCAAGTCCGAAAATAAGCAGCCAAGCTTCGGAGGCGGCCGTCCTCGAGATAGTTAACGAATCGCAGAGGCTTGGCAAAAACGAAAGGCAACAAAGAAACGACGATTCGTCAGTGTCAGGGCAATCAAGGCTTTTGCTTTTGCGATCTTCGGTTACATCGCCAGCTTTACCTGCTTTCCTGACAATGCCGAGAGGTTTTACGAGAATTGACGCTTGCGTCTTGGGTGTCCTACACTTACAAAAAAGAAAGATTTACAAGAAAAAATACAAAAGATGACCTAAAAAGAAAAAAATTTAGAAGAGTCGATTTTATGGCAGGTGGTTAGAGTACGAAAAAAAAGGTATCTTAGATTATTTGAAACGATCAACTTGGATTAAAAAAACGAGTTACACGCTCCCTACCGTGAGGGTGAGTGAAAATCTGAAAAAATTGTTCGAAAGTTTTATTATATTTCAAATTTTTAGTGGAAAATATTTGAGCTACCTACCGAATTCGATGAAAAATGCTTTGTGTAAAAAAACTGTCCGAAAAGTATCACTAGTTTGATCTGACCAAACAGGTCTAACGCCTGAATGCATTGCACCTGAAACCTTGGTTCATCATCAAGACCCCTAGAATTAAAATGTGTGAAGTCGCATCCATTGAGATTACACATCTCAATTTTCACACTCGGCCACTATGCGCGAATATCCAATCATTTGGAGTTTCTTTCTGCTCAATTATTCTGTTTGATTTGAAATGCTCCTCGAGAAAAAAACATGTAATCACTTGACTTTTCCATTTCGTTTGATCAAGATAAAACTGAATCACTGAAAGTGCAAACTCGAGTTTCTTCTGAAATGCGCTCTGTGCAGTGTGCTCCAGGAGAATCGCCGTAAAGTTGGAGAAAAACATTTTTTTCAGTGATCTCGGAGCACTCGTAACTTGAAAAATGAACGTCATTTGTTCAAATGCTGAGAACTACGACTTTTTTGATGCCTTTATTTTTCGAAAAAAATTGGACAGCCAGAAGGAAATGGGAAGTATTTCAAATAAAATGATTTTATTGAGGCCGTTCGGGAAAATGACTGCAGTTCAGTCTTGATCCAGTTTTTCAGCTACTGTAAATTATCTGTAAAGTTGGTATTTTTGTGAAAAAGGCGGGAAAGGAAGGGGTCAAATGTTCGTAGGTCTCTGTAACATATACTATTGGTCACTTCTTGATGTACCAGATGAGGATCCTGAAAGTCTCAATTAGCAAAACTTGACAGTTTTTGAAGGATAAAGGCCCAAAGTCTCAAAATAGCCTATTTTATGGGTTTTGAGGGTTTTCTTTGATTTTGAGGCGTCTTTTTCCCAAAAACGAGGAAGTTATGCAGGTGGAGACTTCTACAATCTACTTCTGGTACATCAAAGAGCGTTCTGGCCAATTAACAGGAAAATCCCAGATGACCTTTCTTTTGAATATCTTGTACAGAATCTTTTATCATGTTAGGTTAGTCAAAAAGGAAGAAACTTTTTTCCTTTTTTTTTTTGAAATTATGCCGAATTGAGCGTTTTTCATCTCGTTCCAACAATTCGTCGAGTATCTCTACAGTTCTTTCAACCCATTACCCCGATGGAATGCATGCCTAGAAATGTACTTCATCCTGACCCTTCGTGACCCTCAACTTGATCCTGCGATGGCTTCCTTTGCGGCCTATCGATAATACAATAGTAACCACTTTACACAGATTCTCAAGCCGAAGCTTCCCCCAAGGCGTCATTTCCAGTGCGAAATACTTTAAACTCATGTAATGTGGTTCATGATGGCAGGCCAGATATATGACAAGTCATTTTGGCGGCGTTTTTTGAGACATGAACAGACTCGCAGTCACACCCACAGGGAGTTATAGCTGGGCATGTTTTGTTCTGCTCGGCGACAAGTGTGCCGCTTCCACCCACGTAGCGGCAGGAGCTTCGCCGGCAAGGCCCACTGTCTCCGTCTCGTCCGGCTCACCAAGGTCGTAGAGCCTTGCCAGCCTTTTGTTCTTCTCCTTCTTCTCTTGGTCTGAAGTTGAGACTTTGAGTATCACTAGGTTAGGAAAGATTCTGAGAGTTTTTTATTTTTCTCCTCTCTGCCTGATGATTTGTTCACCCTTTCGAGATTTTCAACTTGTAGTTTTTCTGATTCTTCTGTCGCATGATGAAGTCAAAAACAGTCATCTCCCTGTTCACAAGAGTCCTTATATTTTTAGTCATGGCTATCTCGTCAGAGTTCTTTCTATCCTTCTTCTAAACTTTTTTGTTTCAGGAGTGTCTAAAATTTGATTCTTGTTTCTACCTGGTAGTTTTCCAAACAAATTGCTTTTCAATTATCCGATTTTTCAGCAACAAAGGTTCATTGGAGGTTGTAGAATTGAAAAAGGAGGTGACTCTTCTGCGAGAGAGTTTTGAGTTCATTCATCGATAGCATGAAAATTAGAGCCTCAATCTCTTAACCATGCTTTTTCCTATATGTGCTGAAAACCTTATGATCTTGATAAACCTTTTCAAATGAAAAATTTCTAATTTCGGTAATTTTTTAACATTATTGAGAACGTACCGGATTTTGATCCACACCAAAAATTCAATTTTTTTATAAATATTTTTTTACTCTTTTTTTTTTGTTATTGTCCTTGGCATTTTGTTATAATCCATGAAAACAACTATTATTGAACTTTTTTAACCCGCTGCTTTCGATTTGTCCCTGACTTTTTTTGAAATATTCATTCCGATTTCTAGATGTCGGAAGCGGACCAGCAGGAGGAGTTCCACGATGCTGAGGAGGCAGTCATCGAAGTGAACAAGGACATCGAAGTCGAAGTTGATCAAGACGCTTCTCAACCTGCTGGTTGGTTTTTATTTCTCTGGTAATATTCTGAATTTCCTTTCTTTCTCAATGGTTTTTTCCGAATTGTTTAACCCAGTCTTCTAGAGAAATTTACATGATATTTTCAAGCAAAGAAGAATTTTCTAAAATTGGCTCCTCTCCCTTTTAAAACGAAGTGGTCTCATTTGTAGGAAAAATAACAAAAATGAAAAGTTATTTTTTTGCGGTGAATTTTTGTGTTTCAGACGCACCGGCAACAGCTGACGCCGAAGACGAAGAGAAGAGTGCGCAGCCACTCGACGAGGATCGAACTGAAGACCAGGTGCGGGGTTTACAAATTCTGGAAGTTTTTCATTTAAAAAATCTCTCCGCTAATAGTTTAGTCGGCTTTATTATAAACCTTTTTCCAAAATTTTCAAAAAAGGATGCATGTGATAATCGAATTCGAACATTTTGAAATTCAGAAAAATGAGAAAAATTATTTTGAAACCCACTGTAGACTGTAAAAAGCGATGATTTTCTCGAATAAAAGAGTTTCACAAAATATTCTGATACAGTACCCTCAAAAAAGATACGAAGAAAAGTGACTTTGTTCACAACTTTCTTGTAAGGAATTTAATCTTCCTGAAAGTTTCTGAAGTCGGGTTGTTTTCTGTGAGCTGAAACTTGACTACAGTGTTAAAAATAACAGTTATCACAACTACAGAAAGTTTTAGGAAGATTGAATTTCTTACAAGAAAGTTGTGACCGAAAAACCGTTTTTTCGTATCTTTCCTGAGGGTATTGTATGTTTGAAAAATTTTTGAGAGGAGATGAAAATTTTTAAAATCCCTACCTCCTGGCCTGATAATTCTGAAAGCCGGATTTGATGTTCGAAAGTCAAACTATACTACAGTTAAAGTGCGAGAAGAAAAAAAAGCTACTTGGATATTTTGAAAAGAGATCTTTTTCCCATCGTATTTCTTGTTGGTGTTTGTTGCTGAGCGGCGTCAATGTGGTGAGAGTGGCTGTGGGGAAACTGAACTTGCGTTTAGTGTAAAATGCCGTCTTGCACAATGTGCACAAGATATGAGAAGAGAAAAAAGTCTCACCAATTGAGCCCTTGATTCTCGAGTAGCGTTTTCCACCGAATCGATCCAAGCAAATGGTGTAAGAGATGACGGTGATAGCGCTGTCAGAAGCGTTGAAAAAATTGAAATGACTGGAAAACTTGGGTTTCACATTTGAAAAATGAAGAACAAGCCAATTTGACAATTAAAACAATGAATAAATGAATAAAAAGAAAAAAATCTAATTTTTCATTCGATGTAAAAAAAAGCAATTTAGTCGCGCTGATAACAAAAAAAAGTTATGACGATAGACATTTAAAAAAATATTATATATGAAAAAAACTTGACATTTTTCAGCAAAAAAAGCTCAATTTCCATGCAAAATTATTGACTTCTGAAATTTGACGTCTGCTTGTTTGCGTACTTTACGCAATAGTTGACTGCGTTTTTTTGAAATATCTTGAAAAATTATTCCTTTTTTTGTATCTTGATTTTTGCACTGCCATGATTCTTTCTGAGAAAAAAAAATGTAGAAAAATCCGAATTTACGGCAAAAGAAACTCTTGTATGTTTCTCATGTGTTATATCCTGAAAATTCGGTTACTGTGCCGAATATCGATTTCCCCTGGAAAACGTTGGAAACCGTAATTTACCGCTTATTGTGTAATTTCATTGCTAAACAACAATCTTCGTTTTCATTACTGCAACACAAAAACTTTTATTTCGCGGTTTTCCAGCGATCCGCGAAATTTTGGGTATACGAGGCGGATGCAGTCATATCGACCAAAGTCAATAGTTCTTGAATTCTTTAGTGTATTAGAAGAAAAGAGACGATAAAGATAGTTCAAGCTCGATATCACCTCCAAGTTATCATCAATCTTAAAGACGTAAGGCGTGGGCAGGTGGTTTTTCTGCTGTTCTTTTTTTTTGCCAGTCGGCAAACATCCTCCGCAGATCCGGTGCTCTCCGATCGCTGATTGTAACCGCCAAACTCTCCAACTGGCGTTCATTTTTTGCAAATTTCTTCTTCTCATTGTTCTTATTCTACTGACGAAACTAATCTTTCAGGTCCCCGATATCACTGGAACGGAGTTCGTGGACCCTATGACGACCAGCATGGACGGCATCGAAGAGCTTCCGGCCAACGAAGAAGCTCAGGTGAGCAGCTTATAGTTTGGTTCCATCTAGGCCTACATGAAAGAAGACATTTCCTTACCCAATAACCTCGCTTACCATACTCAAAACTCTTTTTAGTTTGACCTCGCTTATTTTAACCTTAGAAAAGTAGTAAAATGACAAATGCATGCGTTCCCAGTACGGCGACACAATCTTGGAAGAAGAAGAGGGCCTTCCTGATCAACTCGAATCAGTCGACCATCAAGAACCCTACAGCGAAGTTAGTTGGTCAATCTCACACTTTTGCATCCCCTATTACTTCCAAACTCACTTTTCAACTTTTTCTGCTAACCTCCAACTATTTTTCGGTGAATTGGATGAGCTCTCATTAAGGAAGCCCAACCAACCGAAGATGCACCAGCACCTGAAGAGCCAGAAGCTAAGCCAGAAGAACCGCAAGAAGCTGCACCAGAAGAAGCAGCTCCGGAAGAGCAAAATCAACCAGGAGAACCAGAGCCGGAAGTTCCTGAAACGACTGCTGCTGAAGAGGTTTATTACATAGGATGTTTCAAATTATTCGTTGTTTTTTTTTATTTAGGAAGCCAACGCCGAAACGGAAGGAAAAACTGAAGATGCTGTGAGTTAAAATTCGATATCCATCTTAAGGGTTTTTTTTTCAGCCAGTGGCACCAGAAATTGACGAGCCTGCTGCTACTAACGAAACTATTGAGCAGCCTGAAGTGACTGTGGATGAAACTCCAGCGGCTGAGGTAGAAAAAAAAACAGTGAAATCAAAAAAAAAAACTTATCAGGAAGAGCAAACGACTGAAGAGCCAGTTGCGGAGAAGACTGAGTTCGAGTTGCAAGCGCCGCCTGAGGGCAAACGACCTCGTACTCCAAACGAACTCGACAATCCACCTCAGGAGCCCAGCGAAGAGCCAGAGGCCGCTGAAGCGGAATCTGAAGTCCCAGCTACTCCTAGAACTGCCACTACGGGTATTATATACCGAAGGAGTACCTAGTCTCAACGGGCCTTTTTTCAGAAAAGCAGTCAGTTCCACCAACTCCGAAATCAGCTGCGCCTAGCGAAGTGCCAGCTACTCCTAAATCTGCTGCGCCTAGCGAAGTTCCGCCAACTCCTAAGTCAGCCGCGCCAAGCGAAGTTCCACCAACGCCAAAATCCGCTGCCCCGAGTGAGGTCCCACCTACTCCGAAATCTGCGGCTCCAAGCGAAGTTCCACCAACACCGAAGTCTGCAGTCCCCAGCGAAGCTCCACAGACCCCCGCTGGCTCTGTTCCTCCGACTCCCAAGTCGGCTGTGCCAAGTGAAGCTCCTCAAACGCCGAAAAGCTCAGTTCCGCCAACTCCCAAGAGCGCTCTGCCTAATGGAACTCTTCCTAATAGTCCATCCGTCAAAGGAAGGTGAATCTCAAACTTTCCAAATAACGGTTGGCTGAAGAGTTGGTGTCATTTTAGATAATTGATTGCTTCAATTTTGAAAAAGGTTAAGAACATTTTTTAAAATTAGGTGAATTATAATTTTTTTTGGTAAACCATCTTCATTTTTTATGCAACTACCGACTTCTGAGAAAAGCTTCCAACTGCAAGTGGTGATGATAATTTTCCTCCTCTCAGTGCCAAAGCAACACCAGCTGCCACGCCATTGGGCAACGCGACCCCTAAAGCCACTGGAACTCCGAAATCCAACACAGCCTTCAACTTCGAAGAGACTCCGGCAACTCCAACTGCCGACAGTACTGTTGGTTTTGAAGACGCTCTGTCCTCACCAGCAGTGAAGACTCCAAAAACTCCAAAGACACCGAGAACTCCTCGCACTCCTCGCACACCGAAAACGCCTAAAGCTGCGGCTGTGTAAGTATTTGATGCAGCTCCAACATAAAAACTTTTTCAGTGCTGAGGAAGATGAAGCTCCCGCTGCTGAACCTCAAGCGGAAGCTGAACCCGAGCCAGAACCAGAACCAGAACCGCAAGCTGAGGAAGAACCTCAACCAGAGCCGCAAGCAGAGGAACCAGAAGCTGTTGAAGAGCCCCAAGAAGAAGCCAAGCCGGAGCCTGAGCCTGAGCCTGAAGCTGCAGAAGAACCTGCTCCGGAACCAGCTCAAGAAGTGAGCTCAATTAAAAAATTATTTTATGGAAGTTTAAATACAGGAAGAGAAGAAGGAAGAAGTGAAGGAAGAAGAGTCTGCTCCTCCAGCTAGAGCCGCTCGACAGGCCTCGCCATCTCCTCCACCAGTCCGGCGGCGGGCTCAGTCTCCTTCTCCCGAACGTAGCCGTGCCGAGAGAGCTTCTCGTCATGCTCCCAGAGACATCACTTCCTATGACGAGGCAGGAATGCATGTTTCTATGTCTTAGAAATTTTTATTTTCTCAGGATTCTTACAAAACTGTTCCACCTCCGCGAATTCCGACAGCAACATCTTTCTCATCTTGGAATCCAACTGAAAGACAAACCTACACTCCAATTAGGTTAGCTTTTTTGGTCTCAGGTTTAAATTGGTGAAAAATCTTTCGAAATATATAAAATCACGTATGATGGGACATACTTGGCTTACAATCCATTGAAACGGTTTTCGCATAATGAAACTTTTTCAACTTGAAAAACATCAAGCGGAACTTTGATGTTTCTGAAAATTGTATTCTAAAAAACCTATTGAACGTTCCGCCCACGTTCAGGAAGTAAAGTTAAAGTACATTCAATTCCGCGATATTTGCTCAAACTTCACTTTTGACGGCTAGCTATCCTTTGCAGCCGTTCTCCAAACATGTTGTTCCTTTTAGCTTTCTCAGATTTCGATCAGATCGACTACTATTTTGATTTTTCTAATTTTTGCTTTATTTCTTAGGATTTTACCTATATCATGAATTATATTCCAGTCCATTCGTCACTAACCCCAACAAATACCGCAACGAATACACGTCTGGAACTAGCTACCGTCCCAGCAACATTTACACCAGCCACTTCGACGACATCGTCAGCACCGGTGAGTAAGAATATTGAAGTGAAAAGACTCAAGATTCGAAAGAGTTTCGACTTCAAAAAATTTAAAAATCAAAAAATTTCCATATCATACTTTTTACTTCAAAACTCTACAATGTGGCACAGAAAAAATACTTTCCGGAATTTTCCTCCCAATCTTTTCACCAAAACAACTGTCTCAAAACGGATTTTCAGGCGCCTTCTCGTCGGCCTTGTACTCGACGACGCGTTTGATCGAGCGTTCTCGCAGCAGGACCCGCGAACGCAAGCAAGCCATGCGTTCTCAGCGTTCGGCTTCCAACTACTATAGGTTTCTCTCATTTTACTTTTGTTTTGAAAAGTTGAAAAACATGATGAGCTCAAAAACTAAAGAAAATAGTTTACATAGATCTTTGGGAAGAAGGCATGACTTTAATTCTCGGAAAGTTGAGCATGAACTTGCTTTTGTTAACCAACTTTTCATCCATTTCTTATTTTTCGGACAAAGTCAGAATGGTGGATAATGGCCGTTAAAAGAACGGTAGCAAAAAAGGAGCATTTGTCACCCTAGAAGGAACATTTTTATGGAGCCTCTTCCACCCTTTCTGACTTTGCCTATGTTCTTGAAAACTGATTGAAAAATTAAGTCATCGAGTAATGAAGTAAGCATTACTTCCTTGAGTTTTGCCTCCTTTTTGAAAAGTGCAAAATATTTGAAGGGGTTGAAAAAATCACTCAGAAAATAGACCGCTTTCTGAAGAACTTGGCTATTCAGAATACTGGGCTTCAATAGAATGAGACAAGAATAAAAATATTCAGATACGTATCGCAATACCCGGCTCCAACACGCACTCGGGACTATTCGACGCCGCCAGAACGCGCCGTCAGTCGTCCGCCGTCGAGAAACACCTCTTTCGTGTCGTTCCTCGACTACAGCGACTCCAAGAACGGAGAGCTGTCGCGTGCCAACTCTCGCTCTTCCATCTACGACTCCCTTTCCAGGAGCGGGTGAGCGTCATAATTTATCTACTGATTATTTTGGGTAAAAATCAGAATTATCTTTGAATCATGTGAAATTCGAAACTTTCTGGACGAATTTTTGGAGATCATCATTTCATTCTTAGAACAAACGCCGTTTTATGAATAAAATGAATCTTTGAAGTAGCATTTGCTTAACCAACGAATCCTCATAAATTGAAAGGTGAATTATCATGAACAAAAACTTGACTTTTCTCAGTACAAAAAAATTATTCAAGCTCCATGTCAGTCGAAAAAAAAACATCTTATTAATTAGGTTATTCCCGATGTTTTTTTTTTGGTTTTTGAAGTTTTTTCCTTGTTATTTGTTATCTGACTAAAAACCAAATTCCTGATTCCAGCAAAGTATCTTCACTCTTTGAACCAATCCTCAGCATTAGAAGACAGAACCTCATTTTCAGCTCTCGAAGCAACGTGGACTTGTACCTGGGCGGCGGCCGCCTTTCTCGCGTGGATAGCTATGTTCGCGACATCCATACTCCTTATGAATATGAGGTAATATTTCCAGCAGTCTCATAAATCAAAAATAAACTTTCAAGGTTCCATCCACTTACGAACGCTATAGATCTTCGTCGCGCGGACCAACTGGCTACTCGGCATCGACTGGTTATTCTGTAAGTTCCAAGTCACTTCTAGTCACGTTGTAGATTAGTCGGCGTTCAGTGTCGTAGTTTTTGTCTTTGTTTGTTCGGGAATTGCAGGGAAGGGTGGTCCTCGAGAATATTCAAAACTAACGATCAAACTCGGAAACTTATTTGTAGAGTAACTACATGCTTCGTGTTTAGGATAGCTTATAAAATTTAATATTAAAAAAAGAGAAGTGGTCAAGCTGCCTGGGATCTCAGTCCAATCTGAAAGTTGGTAAAAAAACTTTTTCTCGATGAGATTATCTTTAAAAAAAAATCCAAACTTGCCGAACTTCATATTTAAAAACCTTGGCTGTTTGAAAAAGGAAGATCTTTTCTACCGATTCAGGGAAAGTTGTAAACTTTCGTAAAAAAAACGTTTTTTGAACTTCCTTTAAAGGATCTTCCTTCTTAATTTTTCCATACAAATTCCAACTACCAGAACCATTTTTTCCATACTTTAGAACTAAATGTATCAAACTTTGTTGACTTTTTGCTGCAATTGGAAGGAAATCAGAAATGAAGATGATATAGAGTGGGAGGCAGTTTGCAACACTCAGAACTTTGAGCACCGCACTTGGCACTTGACGAGAAGCAAATAGCTCAAGTCCTCCTCAGTTTCTTTTTGCTAGGCATTCTTTGTCTGTTCTCTTGTGTTGAACGAGCCCGCATTTAGTATCGTCTCAGCAAAAGCCGGCTCTCGATATTCGATAGTCCTTGAGCTGCGTCCACCTCTTTCTAAGTTTGGCTGGGTCCTTTTGTGGGCTTTTTCCGGCGTCCCCCATCATCCTCTCTCGTCAGCAACCACAAGATGTATCTCCTTAGTAAGAAGCGCTTGTTCCGGATAAAGTACGATCCAGTAAGTGCGCGAGTCGAGCTTTCACTGTTTACCATGGCCCCACGTGAACTTTCTGTTTTTTTTTGTCAATTTCGTTATAGAACGGTTGGAATCTTTTTGGAACCTTTTGGAGTTTTCATAGCAGTCTGAATGAGAAAATTTCGAGATTCTGAGTTTTCTCTAGTTTTCTCAAAAATTATACAATAAATATGCACCTTTAACGTTTCAAAGATTTCTTAAAGAAAAAAATATTTTTCGTCAGTAGATTCGTTGGTAGAATCTCGAAAAAAATGTCCACAAAGTTGTGATTTTTATCTTTTTCATTTTATCATCGTGGATACTGCCGGTCATTGAGAAAAAAACGATTTTTGAGTCAGAAAATAAGAATAACTAAAAAGGCTATTTTTGTCGTTTTTTTCCGCCCGGTAATTTTTTGCCTATTAAGATAGTTCAAGAAGCTAAAAGAAAACTAGGATCGAGTTAATTTTTTTTCCTTCAGATCAATCTCCATAAAAGGTCTCAACCGTGCCACAGATCATTTCAGTATTTTTTTTTAAATAATCCGAGAAATTTCACGATGAGGCCACGTGACAAACTTTGTGAGCAGCACGCACATTGGCATCCACTCCTTCGCATGAAGGTTCCACCCTTCCCAGTCCATCGAACCTGATTCCCAACCGCTGCGATCTCAAGCACAACGTCAGCTTGCACTCGCACTTTTCCGTTTTTTTTCTAGAATTACTACTCGTCCCCGTCTTACGTGGAGACCGAGTCGACGCGTAGATTGCCGAGATATCAGCGCGATACTAGTCCGGCGATGGTCAGGAGCATGTATGAGGTTGGCCCAAGTTGCTTCTACCAAGTTGCGGCTGTTGGTTGCCAAGCCGATGAGTGTGAACTGTGTGACAAGGTCTTTGAGTTGGTAGAAAATTGACCTGACCAAATAGAGGTTTTGAAATAGGAAAATAATTTTTGGATCTTTTTCAAGAAATATGATTGCATGAAACAAACAGCCTATATTTTTGAAATTTATACTTCGTTTAAGAAGAATGATATGAAGCTCTTAAGGCTGATTCGAAGCAAAAAAATGCACAAAATGACACCATTTCAACCTACAAAAACTACTTTGCACATTCTGAAGATAATTAAACTTGAAGTCATCCTATAAAACGCTATATTTGAAATCAATTCATCACCAGAATAAGCTAATAAAAAAGAAAAGAGCATTTTTTTGTCTCGAACCAGCAGTGAACGCCTTGAAAACCCAACCATGGTCAATTAAAAAAACGATTCAAACTTGATTTACTTTTTTTTATTCTCTTGGGGTTAACATTTCTAAAAAAAACTTCTCATGCAGATTAGCTTAATCATCTAATTTGTAGATCAAATCAAAACTTTTTCGCTTTCTAGGTTTAAAATTGAATCTAATAAAACTTACCCGGTGCCTCCTCCAAAAGATTTTCATCCCAAATCCAAATTCCCGAACTGTCCATAAAGTCGTCCAACAACTAACGCATGGTGTCTAGTCGCTTTGTAGTGAGGTAGTCCTGTAGAGCTGAGGATCCAGTCCTGTTTGTGAGTGATAACAATCTGGTTCGAAGCATTCACAACGTCCAAAATCTGCATGAACAAAACTTTTATGTGTTGATTTTAGGGCCGCATCGGACAATTGGAAAGATCGCTTTCAAGGGAAATCATTAACAAAGACAGGGTGAGTTATCGTAATTCCGTGTAGAGAATTTTTTCGACAAGACATTAGATGAAGCCTATAAAACCTTCACATTTTTGCATTTTGATATTGAACGAAAAATTGTAAAATATTAGGATTGGCTATGATGAATATGAGAATCGAAATTCAGCTGCGCAATGAGTACCAGCAGTTGTCATCGAAGCTGGACCAGGCTGTCCGTCAGATGGAACTGCTCAGGTCCAACTCGTACAGCAATTTCCGCAACATCTCCTTGCCCCGGACTAGCGTCTACTCCCACTTCTATCCACACTATTAACCTGCCCAAAAAAAATGAAACAAAATTTCTCTTTTCCTAGTGAGTAGTTAGTTTATCGTTTCTTGCCAACTTCTTCAATTTCAAAATGTTTCAGTTTCTAAGCGCAGATCGTTCTTAGCTCATAAAGCACTGATTTTCAGAACATGAAACAAAGAGCTCCTGATCCGACAGGAGCCACTGATTTTCTCGAATGTTTATCGAGTGCCTTCTCTTCATGTCAATTTACGTCTAACCCTCTCCCGCGTGCTATATTCTTTTCTTCTCTATGAAATCTTTTCTCTGCTTGTTACTAACCGCTTCAGATGTTTTTTTATGTGCTTTTTTTCCTTTTTTTGTAAATAACAAAAATAAATTTTTTTCCATCAGCACTCTATGTTTGAATACTTTCGCACAGCTTGAACTTAAATAATTGTGCACGGCTAAATGTCTTAACGTTCTTCTACGACCAATCTATCCTTTCGGAACGTTCTTGCTTTTTTCACGATGACAATACATGTTTGAATCTTGAGAAGAAGCAACAAATTTTACGTTTTGTTTCCTTTTAGACTGTTGCACAAGAGCAAGCACGGTTGTAAAAATATTCAAAAGGCTGTTTAGAAAAAGAAATTTCAGCCCGTATACACCTCCCAATACGCTTTCGGAAAACCCACGGCTAACAAATCGCCCAGCTATACGGCGCTCAATAGCCTATTCTCTGGATTTACGCGCGACTGGGCTGCCTACAACTGAAAGGTAATTAATGAGAGAAACTGTAGGCTCTCAATCGAGTCAAAAAGGAGTAAAATAGAGAATGTTTCAGATGGCGGCTGGGTAACGTTGTGTATGGAGGTCTTTATCGCAAAAATTACACTGAAGATATAAACAAAACTCTCGATTATTATCGTTCTTCTGCGCGGCGGCGCGTCTGAATTGTCAACTTCTCTTTGATTCCCCCCAATATGTGCTTGAATATCGGATATCTTGTCAACAGCTCTTCCCTTACTAACATCTTGTGGTCACGTCATAGAAAATATCCTTCCATATTTCTGCGAAACGAAAACGTTTGATTGTATTCTTGGCTTAAATAATATTTTTTTATAAAACTCTTTCTAAGACGACTAACAGAGCATTGTTCTTTTTTTTTTCTAGGTTCTGTTCTAGCAATTCATCTATCGACTTTTCATACTGTCAAGATAGTCCCGCTTAATCCTCACTAATATCTAACCGCTGTAGAAACTTCTAACCAATCTTGCATAAAATTTTGAAAATTCGCATTTTTGTTTGAAGAAAAGAAAATGACACAAAACACAATTTATTTTTTTCAATGGTGAGAAACAAGAAGTTATCAAAACACTTTTGGAGATTGGAATAAAACTGTGTGGCTGTCCAACTTTCCGGTGTGATCGGTGAGCCAATCGTAAAACCTCTGCGACTGTGTGTGAGCGAAGGATTTCTGAATATTCCAATTATTTGTAGTCAAAAAAAGGAAATGCTACTGGAGGCGGATCAGAAAGTGCAGCTTCCTCAATCTTCGGTCCGTCATGGGGTCCGGCCTTACTTTCCGGTTTTTCCTAAACTCCTTCCTTAAAAGTCAACAATAACTGGGTGTCTTTGCGTCAAATCAAGATAATTTAAGATCGGGACGTCCCAACTCAAAGAACTTTACAAACCGTTTCGATTTCTTTGTCCGAAGAATCGATTACTTTTGGTGGACACATTGCGTACAGAGAACCAAAAATGCCACCTCCTCCCCATTTCTGGCAGGTCTAAAAATATTTCCGTATATTATCCGGAAAAATTCTCACGTTTAGGTGACAAAATGTGTGAACAACAAAAAGTGTCGGTCCTAATACAAAACACATCGCTGTCACAATGATGAAGAGGTAGAGAACCTGAATAAATTACTTTTAGGGTTTTATGGAATGAATTAAACCTGATGCTCATAAGCGAAAAGAGTCATGAGCCAAGTACTGAATATGAAAAGGCTGGTCATCAGCAGCGATTTCACCGACCGTCTTGAAGAAAGTATGTTTTTTTTCACCTATGTCCAAATAATCACCTAGCCCAGAAACATTGCTCTTGGTCCTGATCCTCGTGGTTTTTATTACAAGCTATACAAGCAAGTTGCGCTTTCAATCCAGTGAGGGCGACAAGAAGCCACACAGGAATGACGAAACCCCAGAGCATATCAATAGTAGAAACCGCAAAACAACTAAAAAATGTTTTGGTGAGATTTCTACCCCTACATAGAATTACTGTATGGCTGAAGTCCCGTAGTAGTCCTTTTCTGTGAAATAAGTAGCGGCAGTTGGAATGGCCGCGATCAAGATCGGCAGGATGTAATATGCAATCCATAGTGGACATCCGTCTTTGTTTGATCTCCCATGTACCATCCTGAAAAAAAGCAGTGATAAAAACGTTTGTGCTCACCATGAAGCAAAAAAAGCCTCCATTAAGAAGATTCCCGCAGTGAGAACCATTAGATATTGTGATCCGAGGGAAACTATCTCGCACATCCTCTGAAAAAAAAATGCTTTCTGAAAAAAGTCAATAGTAGTTGGAAATTTGGGGTTTGGCTATAAAGACTTGAGAATGAAAAATTTTGAAGTCGGGTTTTTGCTTGGTTATCAAGTCGAGTATAAAAGCTGGTTCATTAAGAATTTTTATTTTGTGTGAATTTTAAGCAGTTCTTGATGTCAAATTTATTGCAAATTTCCTCGATGGCTACTTGAATAGATTATTTTTTTAAGGTACATCCTTTCGCTGGATTTTTTTCGAAAGAGTTTTTTTCGATGTGCTTCTCTAATCGAAAAAATCCACTCCCAAAACAAAACTAATCATTTTTAAGGTACAAAGCCTCTTGCTAGATTATTTTTGAAAGAGAAATAACGAACTTCATTTTTGATGAACAGAAAATTCAGAACAAAAATGAACACCGACAAAGCACAAATAGCAAGTTCTTCGAAGAAATGTATGAAACGTTGATTCCCCACATTCCTGAAAATTTTTCTTCACAATGCCGATTTTTGAAAGCCCACTTGTGTAGCGCATTGATGAGGACCGTCAAAAGACACCAAAAGATGATCCAAGCGGAGCAGGAGTAAAGCAGGTACTTCAAAATGATTTATTAGCAAGGCGTGCGCGTTAATGGACGCACTTTGGAAATGTTTTGTTGGCTGGAGCTAAGTAGGTACGGATAGCAGCGATAGAAAGCTTCAACGTCAGTTGTGTTGTCCATTTTTTCATTAAAACGCTGTAATGATGGTTATTTTTGGTTGAAAGGAGATAGTTAAGCAGCAGTTGTATCAGGAATTCCTCAGAAAGTGGGAAGTAGCTTTGGATCCAAAATCTTCATGAAAAATAACCCGTTTCAAACGCCGGAGAATGTAGAAAATATATAGAAAACGAAACATTTTTGTAGAAAAAAATGTAGAAAATATATAGAAAACGAAAAAAATTTCTCAGCAAATGAAAAGAAAAAAAGTCTTCATGAGCTTTTTTTCCAAATTTTTCATAGACAATAAAAAAATCCTAATGAAATTCTAATAATATAGCTATCTCAGAGATTTTTTTGTTTTTATCTTGAAGAAAAAAATTTGAATTTTTTTCACCACCTTCACAAAAAGAAGCTCGATTCAAGTACCGATTTCCTTATTGAAAACTAAATATTCTAATATTATTATCTCTTTTTTTCAGGGTTTTTCATATTTGTTTTACAACTTCAGTTGTTGGAAACTTTCAAAAAAATAGAACAGAAAATGGGAAAAAAACAATGAAGAAAAAGCGACAAGAAGGAGTTCTGCTGGCCTTGTCTATTCTTCGCCTTGGCAACGTCGGCAAACCGTTTGAATTCGTTAATCTGTCTGAACGCGTTTTTTTGCGTTCTTTTTGTGACGCAAGACGTTTTTTCTCTTTTAAAAAAATATTTTTCAAGAAATTTTCGAAGCTATGAAGTTTACCTGAGAGGCTATGTCTTCAAAATAAAGAATGAAAGAGAAGTTTTCAGATTTTAAGAGTCTTTTGAAGTATCTGGATTGTCAACTACTTCGTAGACATTGAAACTGTTCTCCCTGAAAAAAAGTGCTTCTAAAATCTAAGAAAAGAAATTTTTCCATAAAAACTTTATTTAGAAAGATGTTGGGTAATATGAAAAAAAATACAATGAAAAAAATCAGTCTAAAAAAATTGACAATAAGGTACAGTTTAATCGATTGCTCATTTTTATTAGAAACCGAAATCCTATATGACATGGCTGCACCGATGATAATTTATTACATAGTTCGATTCATTTTTTTCTTTGGTAAAGAAAAAAATAATGAAAAATGCCTTTTAACTTTCAATAAACAATTATAGTTAGAGTGAAAGAGTTATTGAAGGGAAGGAAAAAAAGAAGAAGTTCAGAAACCGCTTGAGTTCCACTGCGGGCAGTTTGAATGAAAAGTTCGTTTGGGTCACAGATCAGATGAGATGCGTAAGAAGTGGTAGGAAGCATGAAGTTCAACTGTTGAGCAAAGGTCGATCATACTTCCGCTCATGCTTCCTTGAAAGAAATATGAAAAAAACTAAGAAATGGAAAGATTTGACAAGAAATTTATTTTATATGGTGGTTCTCTTGGATTTTTGAGGGGACACGTCAGTTTTTATTTCACAATGAGAATGGATAAGGACATTATTTGGGTACAAAATGACCAGCATGAAAATATTACTGAAGTTTGGAAGGGAGGCGCAGCACCTAACAATTGACAGAATTGCACTTGGCACTGTTGGAAGACGTCTTGGTATTGAAAAATCGGATAAATGCTTTGAATTATGGCAAACGAGGAGTTCAATGCTTATGAAGTGGGAAAAAATAAGTGAAAATCGCCGATGTGATGTTTGCGACGATGCAATTATTAGGTCGGGACAAAGTTATTTAAAATAGTTTTAGCTATGAGTTTAATTTTTTTTTTTCTGTATATTGGAAAATTAATTTTTCTCATGAGATTTGAAAGTAGACGTTTTTGTAACCAAAAAAAAGTGTTCATGAAACCAGTTTTCTCATAAACTTTGTCAAAACGCAAAATTATACATTTTGGAACCCTGCTTGGTGTTCTTTTTGTCTTTGTCCCGCCATTGAGGTTGAGAGAGTAGGCGGCAGTGCTGCCGAAAGTGACAACAAAGGAAAGAAAAGGCTTCGAGACTAGTTGAAAATGCAAAATCTTAGGTATCTGAAAGGATGAATGACGTGTTGAAAAGTTTGATCCGTGTGTTATGAACAGAGGATAGAATAAAATTCAAAAAAATATAATAATAGAACTATAAAGGTATTTCAATAAAGTTCGCCAGAAAAAAGGACGTCATCTACACATCGTGCATTTTGCCTTCCTTGTTGTCGCAGTAGTTGTTCCACAACGTCTTTGCCAACTCGTAACATGGAAGTTCTCCAGCGTGGGTGGCCACCATTCGAAGTAGAAAAACTCCGTCCTTAAATTTTTTCTCAAACTTAATTGCTTTTTTTGATTTCCAGTTTCACCAGTTGCCGAAAACTTTCAGATATTTTATATAGTACTTTTTCCGATTTGTACCGAATTTTTCAGAGCAGCGGAAATTTCGGAGCAGAATCTTCTCTTCAGAGAGATACTTCAATAGTTTAAAAAAAATATTGTACACTTTTTTTAATTTTTTTCTGCTTTTTTTCCGATCATTTTTTTGTGATTTTTTTGATATTTTTTTCAGAAAAAAATACGGCATTTTTGAGCTTACTCATACAAGAATCAAGCTTTAAAAAATTGAATAATAGTGAATTTTTAATCTCACTTGTCTAAGGAAGTGGAACACAAAACGTCTCAGTGACTGTGAGTCGACCATTTTATATCCTTCGATACCCGTGAGATACTTTCCAACAAAGTTGAGCTGCCTAAAAAAAATAAATTTGAATCAAAAGTGAATTTCACGATTTTCACCTGCTCGGAACAACGGAGATGTAAATCCAGTAGAATAATGAGCATACAGTCGCTCCCGCAAGCAAAAAGTACCAAAACCTTGAAAAAATGACACTTCGGAGGCGTGAGGGGAAATTTTGAACGCACCATAGGAAAAGGAAGATTTTTTCATTGAACATGTTGATCATAAGAACGCATTGAACTGTATGACGATGGACATTTCCCAGCACCTTCACTTCGAAATCGCACAAAGTCACGCGTGGAAAATGTCCAGATTCTTCCCATTCGCGGCCATTCATTAGGTCGTTGAGAACCTAAAAGTTTAGAATAAGTATAGTTGCGAAACTCTCACATCATGACTCGGAAAATCATTTTTCGCTGTTTCAAATTCGGAACAATAAAGATTCCAAAGCGATTCCAAAACTTTTGAATCGACTTTGAGTTCTTGCTAGCCAGATTTTCCCACACGGCTACAATAAAACTGCGGAACCTTTTTTGCAAATCATCAAAATTCCTTGTTATTGAATGTAAAGTAGAATTATTGCTCACCTGCAGGCCGTACCACTTGCTGCGATTGCCTAGAAACGTGTTAAGAAGGAAAATTTGTCCGACAATATTGACTGTGTAGAGAATTTTGACAGAAATGTAGAGGAATGTGACGGCGGCTCCAGAAGATCTGGTGCAGATGATGAGGTTGAGAAGCTTCAGCCGGTTCCCCGACATCTGCAAATGAGTTTTCTGTTTTCAGCGCTAAGAAAACTTTTTTTTGAACATCAATTTTTTTTTCTGATGAAGTTTATTGGACCGTATGATAAGTTTTGAAATTTGAATTGTTAATTTTTATCTTCAAAAAATCCCAACCATTTTTTTTGAAATGTTCTGGATTTATTGGTTTAACTCACGATGAAGTTAAGAGTGTGAAAAATCTCACCACTTGGTGTTTAACGTGAAGAGCTTCTTCAACATTCGTTGCGATTGTTTGCAGAGCTCGGTTCCGGGATTCGAGATCCAGAAGCCGAGAGTCGCACGCCATTTGCACTAGGGACTGTACATGAATTCCTGAAAAAAACTACTATGGAAATTAACTTTTTTAGTTCCATTGCTTCTCTGTTTCAGTTAATTCAAAGAACAAACTCAAAATTCCGCTATTGAAAAGCAGATACTGTATTGAATTTTAAATCACGTTTTCAAGAATTAATATTCAAAAAAGGGAAATATAAAATAAACTAACCTGACTGCCAGCTCAACAAACGCCAAACGATTGTGGGAACGTAAAACAAGAGCGCCTCAAGCGCCAACACAAATGGAACCCATTGATAATACCTGAAAACTTTCCCCGTTTTTTGAGACTTTATAAACGTTGTTAGAATGTTGAGCTTTCATGTTTCAATTTAGATTTTTATTTTTTTTCCAGCCATTGCCGCCAAAGCTTCCTGAACACTATAGATGTTTTTTTCAAGGTATTCTCCGAATTTCCGTAAGAATTTTTAAGGGAGAATTCATGATTTTCCCGATTTCGTGCTCAAAAATTTTTTAACATATTTGTGAGCGTTTCTGTGAAAGTACAGTAGTCACAACCTCAAAAAACTTTTTTTCGAAATTGCATAGGAGCTCATTTTCATTTGAAACCGTGAAATGAAGTCTTCAGGGACCCTAATCTCATTCAGGGAAGGAACCGTGAGAATTCACCATTTTCTAGTCAGAAGTTAGCCCCGGAATAACCAATCTAGCTTTGCTTGTGAATCAGCAAGCTAGATGAAAATTTGGAGTCAGTTGGAAGACAAAGACTAGCGAGAAAAACGAATCATCCGTGGGAGAGGGGGAGATTTTCTGACCCATTGTTTAATCATTTTATTCCGGCCGCTGGCAATGGTCGAAGCCCAAGCACAACAATTAGAAATGCATAAGGAAAGACGGCGAACCCGATTTGCCTATTTTCGCGCTCTGCGTAATTATGCGGAATGTAGTCGTGCAGAGGTAGAAAATACGTGTTTTGCACCCAACAGTAGTTCTCCGTGTACTGCTCCATCGGCTCGGTGAACGTCGCCGGTACCCAACATTGGATTGGAAAGCCTGAATTTCAACTTCACATCGAAAAGAGCTTTTTCGAGTTTATACTTTCATAACAACAACAACACAAGCTTCTAAAAGTTTTAGTTGAGGTTTTGACAGGCTCCGCCCCTTTTGTGGGGTACTGTAGCCAAAATACGAACAAAATTCAACTTTTTTTCCATGGTTCAAATCGAGATGAAACTATTTTTTTAAACAAAAAAACCAGTGAAAAAAATAAACATTTTTTTCGTATACTAACTTTCTTTCGAATTTTTGAATCCGAAAAAAATCGGTTTTCATTGAAAATCGTGCATTTTATTAGTTTTCGATGTTTTTGCAGGAAGAACCAACTGTTCATCGTTTTTTTCCCTGGAGAACGTGTGTTGAAAAAGCACAGTCAAGTTTTTTAAAGGCTTCGAGTTGAAATGTCGACTTCAGATTCTCATCAGGACCGCAAGATTTTTTTATTTCTATATTATGGTAATAGAGTCGTGCTAAGGTCGTACATCAATAACGAATTCAACTACCTTCCAGAATAAAAAAACCTTGTTGGAAAACGTTCTCACGACTCAAAATTTCTTGCGAAAACTTTTTTTAAAAAATTTATTTGAAATACGATTTATACTCTATTCATTGCTAGCTTGAGACAGTGAAGTCTTGAATTGGTCGGTCAGAAATGAGAGTTGGGTTTTTCGTTTCATATTTCATTTCCATGAAAGCATTTTTCGCAGCATGGAAATCGGTGATGAATCATATCTGCGATTGGAAACTACTTTTTCCATGTTTCTTTGTTTTTGAAGTGGAATAAACTCAAAAAGAAGGTTCAATTCTAACCGGCCACTCCAATATATTTTAGCCACTTACTCTAAAATGCTTCCAATACTCGTCAACATAGTTCATAGTCGTCAAAAAAAATTTTTCCTTTCATTTTCTAATTGGAAATGTAAGTTTTCCTAACAAATAGGTTAAAAGAAGCAACTAAATACACTTTTCAGTTTCACTGGATCGTCCTTTATAGAACTTAGAAGAAGATGATCGAGGTTCAACTGGTCTTTGCAATTTTTTCGAGCGGAAATAATCTGTTGACTATATCACCAGCTCGTCATTTGTGGATTCCACTCAAAATTTCCACTTTCAAAACTTGGAAACGGTTGACTCACCTACGTACTGCTTCGCTGAGACCAAGATGGCGAACACTGAAAGAAATTTTGATGAGAATTTTCAGTCTTTCATTTAATAAATTGTTTCCCTACGTTTCCTTGAAAACTTTTCCAGATTTACCCTGGAGCTTCTGTGCAACATGTGCAAAACGCGGCTGAAAAAGCCATTTGTTTAGATATCAAGCCAAGCGGCAATAATTCGGCCAGTGCACGTTGGGATTCACTGCCTCACGGAGATATCCAAAACCAGCCTACGAAAAATAAAGTTTGGAGATTCCAAGAAAACTATACTTTCAAAATTCACTTATATGTTTCGAAAAAAACTTTATATTCTAGATATATTAGTTCGTAGATTTTTTAGACATTTTCTGGAAGTTTTCTTTTCATCCTTGAACAATTTCTCATGTATCCGTCTTCAAGTGAACTGTAGCTGACTCGAATGACATTCTAAATTAGCAAAAATGTTCGGGAGATTGCGACATGCCCCGGATCATATTTCAAGAAAGTCTTCCCTTAATTAACATTTTTGAGAACCTTAAAGAGCTGGGGAAAAAAATGCGATGTCCTCTCAGGAAATATGAACCTCTTGCACTTCTTAAGTGACTCAAAAGTTCCTCCGAGGATCAAGCCGAAAGAATACATTTTCAATCAATAATAATAGCTTGATATCACAAAAGGAAACTAGTTTAATGATATATTCATTTTTTTCAGATTCTGAAGAAAATTTTGGAGCAGGGAA